AACCACGACGGATGCTTCTGCGCTGGGCACGACAACGCAGGTGAGCGGCAACGCAACAACGGTTAATTTGCTGTCGGTCATCGTCCAAACGCAACAACAACTGGCCGAGACCCTACGACAGTCCACGAGGCCCCTCCATGTCCACTCCACGAGCGACACTTCGCACGCGATTCCCACGTTTGAGGGGGAGTCATACGAAAACGTCGCTGAGTGGCTTCGAGAAATCGAACGAGTGGCTCTCCTCGCAAACTGGACACCAAACTTCACTCTGCTCAACGCCGTCACCCGCCTTCACGGTGCCGCACGAGACTGGCACAAGTCATACGGTTCCCGGATCGACGACTGGGAAGTATGGAAGGAAGCCATCAAGGAACGCTTCCAACGAAAAATGGGACTTCAACAATTTTTGGAGTACCAACAACGCCGACAGCTCCGCCACAACGAGAGCATTGTGCAGTACATCTACCCGAAGAATGCTATGCTCGAGCGAGCTCCCTGTGAGCTAGGAGCCAGCGAACGCATCTCTTCCCAGGCTAAAATTTCTAACTGGGACCAGTTGGCACCTCAACTGGTTTCAACTGGGACTAACTGGTCCCAACTGGGAAGCAACTGGGACTAACTGGTCCCAACTGGGAATCAACTGGGACCAATAGGAGTCCAACTGGGGCCAGCTGAGGGGTCAACTGGTTTGAACCATTCCCAGTTGGGAGTCAACTGGTTTGACTCCCAGTTGGGAATGGAGTGCACTGGAACCAGTTAGGAAAGTAACTGGTTGGAGCGATTCCCAGTCGGACTTCAAATGCCTTTCCCGTTCCCAGTTCACACTGGGCAACAATTTGGACAAGTTGGGGGTGTATTGACCTTTGCTAATGAAGAAAACTAAAAACACTAACATTTTTAGATTTATACAAATAGGGAATTTTTAATTACTGGGGTACATTTATATATTTATAACAATAATATAAACATTTTAATTAACTAAACAATTTTTTAATTGGAAAATATAATTAGTGACAAAATGTGTTCACCTAAATGAACTTTTAGTGCATTATTAAAGTATATTAAAATATTTATTTAAATACCTACAGTATTTTTTTTTCTTTTAATGAATAAATTTATCTTTTCACTAATCAGAGCTAGCCGGCCGCCGTGGCACGCGGGTGCGGATTAGTGGTACGCGCTGTTGACAGATGGCGCTGCCTATGCTGACGCCGGAGTCGGACGGACGCGGTAGAGAAGGGTCGCCATGTCGCCATCGCCCAAGTTGGCGTCGATGAAAATGTCAAAACTACAGCTGCGCTTCTTTGGACCTAACTGTACACACACCATGGTGGCGGCGGTGAACTTCGAGGATGGAAAAATGCAGTTCAGCGATCGGAGGGCAACCAGGAAAGACCGGACGGAAGAGAACACGCCGCGGAGAGCACAATGGCGAAAATGGCGGGAGGTCTACCTCGAAAATGTTCGACTGTTGTGACAGAGATTGCAAGGTGGGAGCGCTACCGCATCTTATCAGGACTTCACCTGCGCAACGCAGGATCACGGGTGAGCACCTTTCTTCACGCGATGGGAAGAGAAGCTGAGGACGTCTTCACTAACAGACGCCAGCGGCCGATCTTCCTTCATCTCATGAATACCACCTCTGAAAAAGCGATTCAACCGTCGCAAGCAAGTGGCTAAACCCAGAGCGTGTACGTCACCGAACCTATTTAGTTCCATTCTCCAAGTTTTTTACAATAAATTCTTGTCAACCTTCCATTTTGTGCCGTGTTTCATTGTTGCTGGAGTTGGTACCAACTCCAACTGGGACCAATTCCAGCTGGGACCAACTCCAACTGGGACCAGTTGCAACTGGGAATTGTTCCATAAACCAGTTGCAACTGGGACCAACTGGTCCCAGTTGGACGACTTCAACTGGGACCAGTTGTAACTGGGAATTGTTCCATAAACCAGTTGCAACTGGGACCAACTGGTCCCAGTTGAAAATTTTTGCCTGGGTTTAATCCTGCACGGAATCACCGAGGACAAGTGGGCCAATTCCCTGGCAGCCCAAGGCTGTAAATCGGTCCTCCAGCTGATTGACTGCGCGACGACTTTGGACCACCGCCGTCCCAGAGAAAAGACTCAACCACGCAAACAAGGCACGCACGAGTATTCGACATCAACGCAGCAAACGACAGGCGCCCCGACCAGCACCCTGACGAATGCCCCATCACCGAAACCCTTCAAACGCATGAGGCAGAGCAACTGTTTTAATTGCGACCAGCCCGGTCACTTCTCCAGGGACTGTCCAGAGCCGAAAACTGCAGCGACCATCCGTGCAGAGGAGAAACGCGCAAAAAAAGGGCGCGGGTCCAAACGAGAAGAATGTTCACTGCTTCTTGCGCACGACAGGAGATTCTCTCCCCATCGTCACCGCCTTTACGGATAACCGTCCTTTGAGGGCGTGCATTGACACTGGAGCCAACATATCGATCATCGATCCCAGGGCACTACCCCAGGACGCTTGCGTATCGACGTGGTCCCGGGCAGAGGAATTCGTCAACGTTTTGGACAACAAGTTGATGCCTGACAAGTGCACGTCTCTGACGATCAGCGTTGGATCAACGACGGTCAAGGTACCGGAAATACTCATTCTTCCACTCCCCAAGTCAATTGACCTACTTCTCGGATCAGACTGGCGCCAACTCGCTAACGTGGAGGTCACGTTTCACGTTTCGAACGACATAACCATCGTTGAACTACCTAAGCGTTACGATTCGCCCGCCGAGATTCCAAAAACGAGAATCTCCGGAGAAGCTCTAGTGTCCAACTTTCACGAGAAACTGCCCCAAGCCGAACGCCTGGCCATGTTCGTGAAGTTCGAGCCAGCACATAATGACATCGAAGCAGCCGTAATGCAACGAATCCACACGGCTGTGGACAGCATTACCGAAGACGCTTCGCCGGAAGAACGCGAAAAACAACTTGGAAAACTCTCGAGCTTCGGCCAAAAGCCGGTACGACGCAAGGAGCAAGACTCCGAGATTTAGAATCGGCGACTCCGTTTACTGCAGCATCGGAGCGAGGTCAAGCACAATGGACCCGTTCTTCGAGGGCCCGTTCGAGATCAAGTCCTTTCCAACCTGAAACACCGTGGTCATCAAAAGGCTGCATTCCATAAAAGGACGACAAAACGAAAGAAAGGCAAACGTCGAGCAACTCCGCCGACACAATACACGCACACCAGCGGCACCGAAGTTATCCGACACCTACGTCGGCCGAGCGCTCTCCGGCGCGGATGAAAGCGATGAACGTGAAGACGAGAACGGATCCGAGGCCTCAACGCGCGATGAAGAAGACTACGGAGCACTCATCAGCGTCGAGGATGACGCTGTGGGTCAGCAACTGTCAAGGACGCGCAGACCTCCGGCCTACCTTGCGGATTACACGTTGGAGTGATTTGAGGACAAATCAATTTTAAACCGGGGCGTGTTAGCTTGGCCCAGCTCGTTTGTCTATACTTGTTTGTCTTGCCTCGGCGGGATCTGTAATGGATCCTCAATACGTGACTTTTGCGAGCGCAGCGAGCGCACGGGGTTGCGGGCCCAGCTTGTTTACGCTCCGCGAGAGCGTGAACTGAACTTCGCCCATAGCGCCTGCCTGGGAAGAAGACACCGCTTGTGCCTGCGTGGGAAGAAACCGCTCGACAGAATGACCGGAGGCACGCCACGTATACGCACGCAAGAAACCCTGTAATCAGAAGTTAATCTAGTATAATAAACGCTATTTCATTTTCTCCAATCAACGTCGCATTAATAAATAACGGAACGTCAGCACCCGGCCACCGCTGACACCACTATTTTGCATGTTTGTCCCGCAACTTTTAGCTCCTGACATCGCCAACATCGTCTGAAAATTCAGATGACGACGGGGTCAGTGCAGTTGACGGGGAAATCTCTACACTTTGTTTCGGCTTAAGTCAAAGAGAAGGCGACGCTACGTGCCAATGGGACCAATCAAATAGCTTGAAAAGCACAACATTATGGCATTCGTCATCTATCTGCACGTGTTCTATTATCGGCTAAACTAATCAAGCGCAGCCAACGCCCCTAAACTTGCACTTTATTATGTCCGTGATTGTGCGTTTCGGCCAGCGACTGTGCTCTGACCTAAGATGAGACAAACTAGCATAAAATACCGAGCATCCGCCCATTCTATGTTAAGTGCCCACCCGTCAGTTTTGTAATATTTGGAAAATACACGAAGGACGTATCTTTACGCATTGACCTAAGGAGCGCCCATCCCCTAGTTTCCCATGATTATCCTCACATTTTGAGTGGGCACTTCCCTAGGATCTTACGGTTTACAGAGGGCAGAGATGCTGTGAAATGCATATTTGTACTATTTTCATTTTCCTTCTACTCTAAATACTAAAATTCAGCACTAACAAAATATTTTTATTTTTTGCTTTGTTTAGGCCTATTTTGGCATAGGTGTGGCACAATTCCTAGCAAAAATGGCGCTTTGGCACAAGATGTAGCAGACTTTCGTTCATAGCGTAATTTGGCGCAATACTTCCATCGTTGCATTCGAAAATTACGAATAATGTTGTCAGAATTTTCCGATTTCATACATCAAGCATCACTGCTCCGGAACAGTGCTCTGGTGCCAAGCTTCGCCCCTTTGCACAGACGCACATGCGTGAAGCTTCACCGTTTCAGCATTGGCGTGCTGGGAGAAACGGCCGACGTGTCAAAGCATCTCGGTTGGCTCTATGGTCTCGGAAATTTCGCTCGCGTTGTAGGTTAGCCTTCTTCAGATATCATTACAGTTTGACTCCGATTTTAAAAGAAATACCAGAGAAACAACCTCAAACATGAGCTTTCTGCTTTTGATTCATCGCACGTGCAGCCAAAGCCCGGCAGAAGGCAACGAGCGTGTGCTAGAGGCAGCGCTTCTACTGAATTTTTAGCCTGTCACCAACCATAGTAAGCACTGGATGTCCCCAAACCACTCACAACTATCGTCTTGGTGAGGTTGATACGGTCCGCCATGTTGCTGATCTCACGGAAGGCATTGACAAGCGCTCTGTCGGAACTGCTCATCTGAAAAAGGAAACAGGGTGCCTTTCACTGATGACACAATACAGCGAACAGAATGTCTGCAACAGGGCAGACGGGAATGTTGTGTTTAAGAAAAGCCTAAACGTACCGTTTTCCTATTCTGATACTTGGCTGTGCCGGACTCATCAAAGCTGGCATCTCCCGTCCCCTTTCCGATCATGGTGGCCAAGTCACTTCCATTGAGCAGAGGGTTCTGAAAATTTCAGCCGATTTCTATGTAAATATTAGAACTGTCAAGACTCGGTGCAAGAGCTAACTGGTACCAACAACACAAATCACAAAACAATGATATGACATTGCTAAGTTCGACTGAAAGTATGACTTTTTATTATCTTGCCGACGAAGAAACATTAAAAAATTGAGATGCCACACAACATTTTGCTAATGTTTAGCACAAGCATACATTCTATGGCACAAACTCAGCCTGTTGTATAACATTTAGAAGGAGTACAGCCCCAGAAGCGAACTTAACATTTTACCGCCCTAAGCAGCCTTTAACAGAGCTGCCCCCCACCCTCCCCTCAACCTCCGTTCCCCATGGTCAGTGGCCATGGGGAGTGGAAGTTGGGGGGGGAGGGGGGAGTAATTAAGTTTAGAGTTAAAGTTTTCAAAAGTAACTAGATTTGGAGCTAGAATGTCCAAAGCAGCTAAATTCAGAGCCAGATTTTACAAAAAGAGCCAATTAATTTGGGGGCAGCCACAAACTGGCTGCCCTTCAAAATTCTGCTGCCCTAGGCAGCTGCCTCCCTAGTGAAAAAGCCATTTGTATGAGAAATTTCTTGTGTTACATAAACACATATGAATCATACAACATATATAAGAACATGTAATAACCATATAAGAACAAAACTTGAGTTCTTACACAACAAAAACATAACTCCTTTTTTTCTTTTTAGTTCAGAGTTTTCGAAAAGTATCATTTGTTACACATAATGCTGCCTTGGATGTCCAATTTTGTCTGGTGTAATTATGAATAGCAATAGTAATTTAACACATCATTAATAATAGTAAATATAATAGATAATATTGAAGAGAAAGACCTGACTGTCTACTTCAAATAAGCCCATTAAAATGCCACAGCCTCTGTTCCAAACATTATTTAGGCTTTCTCTACAAAATAATGTATCACAATTTTATCATTTGTTTCAGCTATTTTACATCAATGGCCGAGACTCTTTCTACCTGTCCGTTGCTTATGCTCAAAACTATAAAAACAACTCTCCAGACTGGCAGACCTGAAGCCTTCTTAGAAGGGGACAACATTTTCAGAAGCAATTACATTTCTTCTGGTCACAGCAACACGAATTTGGTGCTGCATTCTCAAAGCGGGAACAATGCCATAGTGTCGGTCGAGATGATTATATTAAAGTCAAGCTTTTGTCATCCCAATAAAAAAATAAGGTAGTAAAAATACTGAAGGGCACAATTCAAAAAGTTTCAGCATGTCTTCAAGAGTGGGAAGGTTGAACACTTGCCTCTGACGCTCCCACACGGGCAGGGTCATTGTTGCTTTTCTCGTTGGGGAACACTCTCCATTCTGTGCCGACATCTACGATTCTGTAAGACATGTGGATGAAACCGTTGATGTCCTTCTAGCAAGTATCACCAGTCACAAATAATCAACAAAGGTTTATAATGTAAAGAGATTCACAAGCAAGAATCTGCACTAAAGTCATAAAGGGGTGGAAGTAAGTAATGGGCTTGAGTTGAGCTAGTTAGTGCATTACTAGGATAAGGCCAGCTTGAACTTAGGAGGCAAAAAACATAAAAAACAAAGTAGAAGAAAAACAGAGATAGAGATACTGCCGGTATCTCTCTCTGTCTCTCTTCTATCTCTGTTTCTTACGTTTTTTTCGTCTTCCAAGTTCAAGCTGGCCCTAACCTGGAAGCAAGCTTCAGCATCTTGTAGCAGGTCTGGGAGCAGCAAAAATGCCCCTTTGGAGCTCCTTTGGAGCAGCTCAGGAGCCACAAAAGTCGAGTTTTGTAGCAGTATAAGTAAATCACGTAACATGGGCCTATAAGTTGAATTAACTGAATTACACTGGATTAGTTGAATTTTTAATGTTGTATAAGGGCAAACATGTTTTTCCAAATACAAAAATAACACAACAAAAAAAACATCTCCACGTGATGTTCCAGACCCATTTCCAAGCACCTTTTTCTTAAAGGAGCTGTGCAACAATTTCAGTTGTTTGCTTAAATAATCGGGGAGTTGGTGTCTCGACCTTTCTGAAGTAAAGAACAAAGAAATGCTTTTGCCTGCATGTCCTAGTTTTTATTTTAAAAATTGACAAAGATTGGGTCTTTCGGCACCTCTCAATTCCTTCACCATCTTCCGAGTCACGTGCGCTGTGACGTGAAAGGGGGACTAGCGGGTTTCCAATGAAGCTCTGTCTCTTTCTAAAGCCATCAGTGAGCGGCGAGAACTCACCCGCTCACAACCACATTACCACGTGCTTGCAGAGCGCAATCAACATGGAGAAAGGAGGAAAGTCTTGTCCAGGTTCGGCCATCCCCATCCGCCTCTGCCCCCGTCCCCCTCCGGCTTTTGGCGGCTGTTTGCGGTAGCAGATAGAGCTGACGGTTTTGTTGACCTCGGATAGGTAGCGCCATTAAACCTCCGTACAGTAAAAGTTTTGCCGATGATAGCAGGTTTTTGACGCATTTATATTTATGTTGGAACGACAAGACTTAAAAAAAATTACATTTTATCGAGCAGGGTATTAGCACAACTTGCTATCTTTTTACAAGCCGCCCACTGACATCACGCTGCATGATTTCGGGGAATATTACAATTTTTGCCTCGCGATTACGCGGTGGAATCACAACATTTCAAAGGAAGGAGATCTGCTTTCTATCCTTTGTGACAAAATAAACAATGTCAAAAGTAGAAGATGCAAATTCTTTCAACATTGAAATCGTTGCACTGCCCCTTTAAATATAATCCAGCCCATAGCATCAAAAGCAAACGGTATAATTGCAATTCATCTGAATGGCAGCTATTGAGAACTGTCCTGGCAGCAGGTTAGTTCCTCTTATGGATTTCCAATAAAGGGCATAGTACACAAAAAGAAGCGCAACTTAGGCCTCATCATAACAAAACATTGTGCCTATTGAACAACCAATATCTCCAGTTCCATAAATCTACTGAAAACAAAACCATTTGAAGATCCAACATTATGGTATGAAATAAAACCCTATATGTACTGACTACAGTTTTCATTACTAGGAAATAGAAATCTTCAAAGTCCCAGTTTAGCAAAGGTATTCCAACACTCAAGTTAACAGAGTATAAATCTACTCCAACTGATACAAGTAGAAATGCATAGAATAAAAAACTTTATCATATTATCCCTGCTCATACATACATGCTTAACTCTTTCCTGACTGTGCCCATAGGCTATCGATCACCGGTAATTGATGGTTTCTAAACTCCGTCAAGAAATGAAATTTAGAGCGGACAATTATATTCCACTATCTCAAGAATAGCTGAAGAACGCTAGTTTCGGCTTCAAAATAGGTGTAAGCTTTATCACAAGGAGGTGGGCTGTAAAAACTAGTCCTACGGAACGGTGGTTGCACTTGACTAATGTGGCCAACTGCTTGCATCAGGCTTCGCAACAAAGATGGCATTATTTACATAATTCAACTGTATTGTGGCATATTTTTTAGACCTCCAGAGCTCTGGGGACACTTAAAATTATGTCATAGGCGTCGCTTAAGAGATGGTTGTCGGCAAGCACCACTGTCATTTCCAAGGCTGTTCTGAGCCAGCGTGCACATTTTATGTTCCCAGCAAGGCACACCAATCTTTTTAACATGAGGGAACTGCAATCAAGGCTATGACAAAACCAAGATAGAACACAAAGAAAGCACTCTATTAGAGATGTGAAGTGTACTATCTGTGCTTCACCAATAGAAGCATTTCTCTGTTGAAAAGCACATATGTTACGGAGGCTAACTCTCTGATGAACCAAAAATAGACAACGTTAGAGTATACTAACTTCAGAAGTAATAGCCATGGGTATGGGGCACATTTTCTATATCCAGAGTTTGTTTTATTAGTCGTCTAATCTGACATAGCTGTAGAAGTTTCGGCATTTATACGCCCTCCGCACGTACATCGCATTTTCAAAAAAGAAAGTTTTAAAACCTTTTATTGACAACAAACAAACCTCTGTTTCTTTCAACTGAACAACTAATTGGCCACATTTTGATATGTCATTTTTCTCCATACGCAAGTTAGTTAGGAAAATAAAAGTGTTCGCGCAGATCCTTTAAATATTGCTACTTTTCCCGTGGTCAGGAAAGAGTTAAACCCTTATTATAACAAGCCTGACTGACTAGAATATTGAGGGTTTCATAAAAAAAAAAAGAAAAATGACTGACAAAACGGAAGGTTTTTTTCACAAGTCAATTGCTCGGATGCATTCTAGTGCAACAGTTTAGAGTTTGCGTCACTCAGCAAAACATTACCACTGTTCTTCTTGTCCTCCTTGTTTGTGTGTTAGAGTGTGTATTAGCCTCGTACGTCATTTACGAGAAAGTTTACAGATGAGAAAACAAATCATTTTTTTTTTATTGCTACGTTTAGGGCACGAATGAAGAGTGCAGAAGCGGTCTCAGCAAAATAAAATGCACTAAACATGCGGAAAAAAAAACCGATGCCAAATGTTTAATTTTGAGAAGTAGTTATTGTATTCCCCCGAAGATTAAATGACAGGCGAAGGCATGCCAGCACGTTGTTAGGTACAGTGCTCCTCAAACTTAACGCCGCCACTCGGTTTCGCAAATACTGATCCATTCAATTTTATTGCATGCTACCCAAACATGAATTGATCGCTGCAGCTGCTGGATTACCTTCCCCTGGTTAAGTTTTCACCGAGGACGCAAATCTTCACCAACCATTTGGACTGCTATGTTCAGGAATAGCTCAAAAAGTAAAGAAACCGAACCATCTCCTGGCGGCGTTAAGTTTGAGGCGCACTGTACATTCATATACCATAAAGTCCAGAAAGAACACCCATCCAAAATGAAGAGATAGATGGTGAAGAATGTGGGGTAAGCCGTGTTTGGGGATGCTACAGAAAAAAACAACTTGTGATAAGCACGAAAAGAAGGAGAGGGAGGGGAAGGGGTAGTCGCCACTATGAACTACATAAAACAAGAACTCATGCTACCACAAATTGCAGACACGACATATTTTGAAACACGTTCTGAGGACAAGCACGTTTTATTGAAACTTGATTTAGAGGAAGCGGAACTTCAGTTTAGAGAAACGCCGTTTATCGAAGAGGGGACGCTGTTTAAAAAAAGGATCCCCTACTTCGTGCCAGTGTTGGGAGGTACTTCAAGTACATTGCACTAAAGTACCACTTCAAGTACAACTCCCGGCTTCAACATTTCCCAAATATAATCTTGTAAAATTTGTACCACAAAATGATGCCTTGTCAACTCCAAAGAAATAGTGAGAGGGATATTCTAGTTTCACCAGAAACGCGAGCCGACGACGCATAGCTCCGTTCCTAAGGAGGGGAGGAGGGGGGGGGGGAGCTTTCTTGCAGCATTTCAAACTCTCGCTACATCTCGCTTGGTCAGCACAGGAAAGGAGGTTAAAAATATTATGAAAGGACACTCCTCCATGGGAGTATTGCTTGCAGAACCTATGGGGCTGACATCATGCTATCTCCTAGTACGTGTGACCTTCTTGGGTGCAAGTGAGTGCAAGCGATGCCATATTCAGGAGTCGGAGGGACTTCTGAATTGAGGGCCATTTCCAAAAATAACTTTGTGGCTAATTGACTTTATCACATATTCGCCGCCATTTCCGAAAATAACAGATGCACCTCCGATTACCCCTAAAACAATGCATACTAGTTAAAAAAAAATAAGACTGTATAGGGGAACGAAAGAGCATCATGAAAGATTGATTTAAAAAGTACTTTTACTTTACTTTGAAACTACATTGTATTTATAGTACTTTACTTCAAGTATGTTGTGCCCAGTGTACTTACTACTTTACTTGAAGTACATAAGCTTTCATTTACTTAGTACTTTACTTCAAGCACTTTTTAAATGCACTTACCTAACGCTACTTGGCATGTGTATCAATGGGAAGGAAGTTAACCCACCCGGCCCCCCAGTTCCTGCAGCTTCGCCGGCAACAGTCTGCGGCGGCTCATTACAAAAATGTTAACCCACCTGGCCCTCCCATACACGCCGGTTTGCGCCAGCCCAATTCTCTAAAAGGAGGCTCATCACCATTTTCTCTAAACTGTGTTTCTCTATAAAGAGATTCTATAAACGGGAGTCTCTAAACCGGTGTTCACTACAATGAGCTTCTGTAAAATGGATGCCTCCGGCTACGAACTCGCATGTCACGGGAACAGATACCGCGGATTACGGGGTCAGCAGATTCACCTTTCATGGTGCGATAAGCGCGGAAAACAGCTACAAACTCATGCATCGAGGAAACCAATATACACCAGATTGTGGACGTAGCAGATTTGCGTGTCACAGTGCAATAAGCACGAGTGAACCAACGGAAAACACGCTTGTCTCATGTATTGATACCGCAGATTGCCCGGTTGATGTGAATCCCGTCGAACATCGCATGATCGATATCCGGCGGGAATCAGGAAGGAAGGGGGGGATGTTTAAAATTTCTTATGTTATGGATATTCAGCCCGCCCAAAATAACGGAAATTGGTGATCTCTCAGGGGTGGGTGTTTATACGAGACTTCATGGTATACGCGATTTAAGGCGTGTGCAATTTCGAATACATGCAAGCATACTCAATGCCACATTGCCAAAAAAAAATAAAAAAGTGAACGATTACTTGATGTTTTTTACTTCAGACATTTTCAGAGACCAGACACCTACACGCCGTTGTTGGCCGAGCTATGGCACTGACAACACAAAGCAATGCGCCCAAACAAGTGCTTGAAGGCACCGGTATGGGGTACGGAACAAAACACACAACTTCTATTGTGTGTTGCTCATTTTCGCCCAAATACGGTACATGTTTTAACAATAATAAAAGCATTAACTTTCATTAACTTTTCCTCGCTTTTGAAACGGACAACTTAAACAACCAACTCGTGCGGTTCTCCCTCGTGCTGCTGGCGCTTGACAACTCATCAACATAAGACTATGAAACGAAACGGAACACTGGTTTACCGGGTCCGGAATAAATCATGGACATTCTCGTTGAATGGAAATAGGCAGTTGGAATTTGTTTTCATCAAACGAGTAACCTGCTTTGACACTGACACGACTGCATCACTGTCATCACTGTGCTGGCTCCAAAACATTGGTTCAGAATTATCTGAATGAACACAACATGGTCAACCACTGTGGCAGAAAAGATGAGTACTCCAACAAATGTAGCGACTAAAAAAATATTTTTCGGCTAGTTTCGGAGCAACATTTGAGCTTGGGAGCAGGATGGCACAGCGAAAGTGGATTGGTGCACAATGGTGAAGCTGGCATAGTGCCTTCACCCCTGGTCACAACAACATAAAATTAAATTAGATTAAATTAAATTACACACACACACACACACACACACAAACAAAAAAAAAAACAAAAAAACAAAAAAAAAACACCTAGTTTGAACAGCTTTTCAGCAGAGCAGCTCCAAAATTTATATCACACAAAACGGCATTCTCATCTGAAAGTGGCATTATATTTATTGAGGTGCATGATGGTACGACAGTGCATCTGGCTTATATTTTCTGAGGTGCATGATGACACGACGGTAAATAACAGTTTTCAAGTTATGCAGCAGTGCAAAACAGATAAAATTAAAAGCTGGTTGGCAGAAAGAATGCAATGAGAAATTCTTTATAAGAATCCGTGCATCAGCAGTTACCTGGCCTACAGGCAGTGGCATGGCCAGGAATTTTCTTCAGTGTGGGTGGGTGGGGGAGGGAGGGGGGGAAGGGGGGAGGGGTCAAAATGCATGTGCATGTTTTAGGGTCGGCTGGAATTAGGCGGAAAATGACATCCAATGCAAAGTTATACGTCAAGCAAGTGTTCTAAAATGCGTCTGTGGCGCACTGAAACGCAAGGGAGGCACGCCAATCAAAGTGCAACATAGAGAAGGAGTAGAGAACATGCGATGACGAGGCAGCCAAGCTGTGACAATCACTGGTTGAGGTCAGGAAATATGGCGTGCAAGTTCATCTGCTCCTTGTGCACGAGCTGTGCAATGAGCAGACAAACTTGCACGCGGTATACATTTGTACCGTCGCAATACAGGAAGACTTCTTATTGTAGAATCAAAGAGTGGACTAATCATCAGTATGAGGTGCACTAGAACCGCTTTATACCTCTCTTCCCTACATGGTAAATCATCAGTTCCCTTACCGTAAATGAGTGTTTCCGACAAAGGACCTACCCCCCAAACAGTGGGGTAGATCAAAGGTTACCCGGTGTCACCCGCGGTGCCGAGCGGCAGTTAGCTTCCCCCAGCTGTCGCGACCAACAGGTGAACAGAGTTCAGGGAAAGTCAAGCAACTCAACGTACCTGTCTCCGACGACGAGACCACACTGGGGACATATCATGTCCCCAGCTCTGTAGTCCTCCACCAAAGCCGCATCGGGATGATCCGGACAGAACACCCGAGCGTTGGGACCGCTGCGGGGATTATTAGAAGAAAATAATAATGAAAGCAATACTCTAAACAAATAGTGCGGAGTTTTCGTCATAGATCGCTGGCGTCGACACCTTCCAAGGTGCAGTCCGGCCTCACCTGTCAAACTACGTCTACGCAACTGCCAAAAAAAGCTGTAAATTTTACAGGAAGGTTGATTTCAGACTGCATTAGATATCAAAACAATCAATTTCACCGCCTCTTGCGAGCTCAAATTCGAACATACAACACCGTACTACTAGCCACCATAACCGTTCGACAATCACGCTGAGAATATTTTTTTCCTCTATTTCCCGACAAAACAAGAAAATGCGTACAATTTGTTTTCGTAAGATTTTGCGACGTAATATTATAAAAGCATGCTGCTTTTGTTTTTCATTTTTCAAGATTTCCAGGACCTGTTGAATGCTGTTCCACGGGCTAACGCGTAGGTCGGTTCTACGTAGTGACATGCCCTCGACTAATGAGCTCGGTTGTGTTTCGAGAGATTCCCACCCGTGAATGTGACCACGTTAAAATCACATCGGAAATAAAGTGCGGCAATGAGTGATCGTCAGAAATAAGGGACATATGGAATATTTTAGGAAAAGAAACAAAGTTCACCAACCGAGACCCCGATGCCATCTTCGTTTGTAGCACCAGCGCCGCTGCCGCTGCCCCGACGGAATGTTCTTTTTCAGTTTTATTACAAAAACAATTTTTGTCACTATATTTTATTAACACTTATATGATATTGTTTTACGTACATGTGAAAGCAATAAAAACGTTAATTAGAAGTATTTTGTTTCTTTACTACATTTACTAAGCCAGTTATAAGGTTTTTTTCTCTATTCATCCCTGATTCATCTAGATTGCCAGCATCGCTGAGGCCATCAGGCATTTTGAGTTCCGTTTTTGATGTGGTGCGTGCGTTCATCGACCATGTGTCTGTCCAACAAGAAATAACAGTAATATAAAATCAGTGGTGGCCTTTATCTCAGCAATGAAGCGACAAAAAGAAGACAGGCCAAAAGGAGCGAAAGAGATTGAGGTAAGTTTGTACAGTTCCATCTTCACCTCAGAAGATGCGCTAGCAACACATGTTCGCAGTGAACGCGGCGTTTTACAAGCATGCAGTAACATATTGCGAGCGGTATGTGCCACATACTTATATGCTAGTAATTCCTTATTGAACTATCACTCTGTTGCAGACATGCGATTGGAAACGGTGGCGCCTAGAAAGTAAGTCGCACCCTGCTGTTGGTTTTGGAGTCTCCAGTTGTCGAGCTAGGCGGTTTGTTGATGTGGTACCATCTTTTTCTGCTTTAGAGAAACTTCAGCGCCAGAAGTGGAAAGAAGAGAGGACACTGAAGAAATTAGAAAAGAAGAATAAAACTCACACATCCGTGGACGGGCAGAAAGCAAGTCAGGATGACAGCCAGCCAGTGGGACGTAAATACACGCTAAGCATAGCGGTGCCCGGTTCAATCATGGAAAACGCCCAGAACGCCGAGTTGCGGACATACCTGGCTGGTCAGGTGACGATCGCAGATATTTTTACCATACGTGGCCTGGTGTCGGTGGATAGCTCAGTCATGTTTTATAAAGTTGTGGTCGGCAGCCTACATCAAGATGAACAGACATACCCAGTGTTTTGTTATCTTGTTCTTTGTCCTCCGATCAAAGCGCGTACATTTCCAGAAAGATTAGTATTTTTGGGAACAGATAATAATAACACTTTAAATCCTTACCTTGCGGATTTATAACCTCTTGCAGAGAGGCACAAAGCAGCTGGTGTTGTCCTTCTTGATTATCAAATATAAACGAGAGGGCCCCACCAATTGTAGCCGGCAAGTGCTGTTAAATACTGAGTGAGAATAAAAAAATGCAGACTTAACGCAATGCGACATTAGCTTTAGAAAAAACAGGGCATCATAGCAAGTGGGGTTCCACTCAAAGAGGCTCAACATAGAAGTGCATCCTGCATATGAGCACGTGGAGTAATGAGACGCTCTCGTGCCGTGCGCGCTCATGCACAACATTTCGGCTCCGAGGCGAGAGCGCCGGCCTACGGATCCCCCGGTGGCGGGTTCGAATCCCGACCGAGGTGCCCGCAATATGACGGAGGCTTATTGCGGAGAAGGCGCCGTGTAACCGAGCTTTCGGTTGCACGTCAAAAGATCCCCAGGTGGTCGAAATTAATCCTCAGTCCTCCGCTGGGGTGTGCCAGATGCCCGTCGTAGGTTTGGCACGTAAAACCCCCAAATTTTACTTTGATGCACAACACTTCAGTGCACAACAAGTACCGAGGAGACGCTTCATGCCACACCCCTTCGAGCAGAAATGCACCGGACACAGTGCCACTTTTGTCGTCACAGAGTGGCAGCACGTGGAACTAACCAAGAATGTGGAGCGCTCGGTACACTTACCCCTATAGCCGCCATAGCACCAGTGCCCGACATGGCTCTTGCCACCCTTTGCTCGCGCTAAGCTCCAGCGGGGCTGTTGCACGTGCAGAAAGACTACAGTTCCCATGATATACGCCGGTAGTGGTGGTGTAACGAAACTGACCGGTGAGATTAGTCTATTAGAGCGGGAATAAAAAGGTGGCAATTAAGAACGAGGACAACACAAAACATCAACATGCTCGTTTTAAGCCAACACAGCACCTTTTCCAGAGACTAAATTCACACTGTATAAATATCACAACACTGCTTGTTAGAAATTTTGAAATATTAAATTAATGATGATTGCAGATCGCAAGAGCAGCCGTCGTGTTCTGTGTGGACGAGATTGTTGTCTACGATGACTATGGCTCAACAACTAGGCAAGTATACTTCAGTAATTATTGCAAGAAGAATGGTATTATGGGATGAGAGTGTTCACATGAAGCTGATCTGCTTCTTTTACAGTGAGCTGATCGGAGCAGAAAGTTACTAAACAAATACAATATAAGTGTAATGTTTTCTTTAGTTTGACTGCGCGGTTGCCAAATTCGGAACATGCAAAAATACTTCCGACACTCCAAAGGATAGTCACCTTTTTTGTGCGGAGCTTTAGAATATGGTGTCACGACATCATTCAAACTTTTTGCTGCACAGTCGTATGTTAGTTGTGAAAAACAAGCAGGGTCAAATCGAAACCAGGAGATCACCGTGGAGGACCTTGAAGTCAAGTGTTCAGGGAGTGGTTCCTAACCCCAGCAACTGTGCTTTAGGAGCTTTATAAATCATTGCTTCCAGTGTTGCAGAGGTAACGAAAATAATGTTTAGGGATATTTTATTAATTTTTGATCAATAAAGACGCACCTTCTACGACTTATTCGATCTCAACTGTTCAGAGTTCCATGTCATCATTGCAACTGACAAGAAAGCAGAGGAATTCCTAAGTGGCCACCTCTTGACCAACAGATCTTACGGAAGAAAAAGCCATATTTTGAGTTGCAGATACTTTTCTCGATTTTTGGGCCCTTGCGAGCCATATTTCCATAAAAAATCTTAACACCTGTAATGACATATTTGCACGACTAATCTTTATCTTTGGAGAAAACCGCTTATGTCAGCTGCGAGGGAAAAACGCCGCCAGAAGGAGGCGGCGATTCAGAAAATCCGACCTTGCACTTGCGTGGCGGAGTCGCACATAGTTGAGTCGCTGCAGTCTTTCTCTTTGTGAATGTGTTTTCTAACCGTTGGGGGCTCACCAAACAAAGGGCAGGGCAATAAAAGAAAAAAAAGGCACCCCACAGCTTAACAATGCTGACTATAATCCTTTCCCAAAAGAAAAGCCACTGATCACTCCGACGGGACAACGGATATTCTGAGAGCTGGCTGCAGATTCTCCGCGGCTCTACACGGGCTCGAAGGGTTAGCAAACATCCCTGGTGAAATGCATGTGACCTCAAGACTAGATGACACTTAATCCCCTTTCCGGGAAAAGCTCCATCGTGCGATTACATCATTAATGCCTCGTCCGAGGTCCTTCAGCCACGCTCTGCCCGTCTGGTTGGTGGCCTTTCCTCACAGTAAGACGAGCAGCACTACAGAAGGCGAGTTCTCGGGGGTCTCCGAGCGTGGCCAGGGGGCCCTGCAGCTGGCGCGAGTGTTGCAGTACCTCGAGTGCCCCCAGTACCTGCGCAGGCATCTGTTCCCCATCCACCGGGACCTGCAGTTTGCCGGGCTGCTCAACCCGCTCGACTGCCCCCACCACCTGAGGGCCTCTGAGGAGTGCCCGTACCGCGAGGGTGTGGTGGCCAGGCTCCCCGTCAAGGAGGGCAGCGGCTCCTTCGTCAACTGCGGGCTCGAGAAGGAGGTCTGGCGACGCTCATTTTAAAGCGATAGCTTTCGTATGGGAACGCACCAACATGGACCTTGCTTGCTTGCATTGGTGTTGGTTGGGTGCCCCAGTGTCCTTCTGTATAGGGTGATGACATCCTTTGTAGCACTCGATGCCAACAGCACGCGCTCGTGGGAAAAATTTAAAGAAACTAACGAAGACAAACTGCCGCCATGGCACAGTGAACGCCAGGAGCGCAAGCAGAAAGGCACTTTTTCATGCACTCTGTAACAAAATAGAAAAAGAAGTTTTCTACAGAATGGCCAGAACTAAGTAAAACAGTTCTTTCAGCTTATACTGTAAGTGTGTACTTTTGCTTGACTGTACTTATTTTGTATTGTGTCCGTTATGTGCCAAGTGGGGGCCAAGGCCTTGTCGGGCTTGACCCTTTTTGCCCTCTCTGCAGAAGAAATCAGCAGGCACAAATAAAGAAAAGAAATAAAAGTGCACATGATGGCACCATAGTGTTGGTTGCACCGTAGCAGGGTCATGAAAGAGAGTGTCAATAACGGAGCTGAAGTTTTGGTGCAATGGCATTGCAATGCCGTTGCACCATGTGGAGTAGGGGTGAGGTGGGGTAAATGGTGCACTAATACTCTCCGCTAAGTAGGAAAGGAGGCTGCAAAGTATTGCAGGAGTTGCGTATTAATGGAATAATTCAGTAGCAGGCGTGGAGGCTTTCACAGTCAAGTTGTATCTGACCTTGCAGAGCAGGATAGAGTTAGTGTAAACGTGCAATCACTGATTTTTCACATTTTTCTTATAGCTGAAAGGCTGCATCAGAACACTATTTCCGTAGGATGATTATGTGGAACACCACTTTGGGCACTAAAAATTTAGTATTTGGTGCTAACTTGTTAAAGTGAAGGCAGACGAGTGCCGATGTTGTGTGTATTACCCAGTGTGCACATATGAGTGATACGAGCAATAATTATGTGTGAACAATCCAGAGGGTTTATCAATACGGGCTTAGGATTTGCATTACTTTCTGTCACGTATGCGGGTTCATCCCTTATTGAAATTAATGCAATCGTTAATATGTGCAGTGAAGGTGTATGTGAAAAATATAGCTTAGGATTCATATTAAAATAGCGCAAAAAAAGCTTAGGACTTGCATTAATTTCTATTATGATTATGTTTATTCATTACAATGAATGTGAGTGTGGCAAATTTGAGCTGAAGACTTTCATTCATTGCTATTATGGATGCATGTTTATTAATTACAATGAAGGCTACAATGATTGTGTACAATGAATGCTCAAGCGTGATCAGCATGAGTTTAGTTCTCATTTATTCACTTCAAATAAAATAATTTTATTTGCATGTGCATGTACAGATGCTGTATCCACTGGCAGAAAAGGCCAAACTTCGTTGGCCTGACAAGGTTTAGGTTCCATGTGCTTCTTTTCCAAGTTATTAACGTGAGTTCATAACTCCTAACAGAACTTCTAACATAACTGAGCGCTTCAGTGAGAAGTTGTAAACTCACATCCAAAACGGTAGTAGTTCATTTGTTAAAACAAACGCTGCAGTGATTGTTTACAATGAATGCGAGCCCGACTACTCCACGTAACGACAGCGGCCCATTGCAACGAACCCCCAGGTGAAGATAGACCGCTGCCTCCAGCCTGGGGTGCGGGTGACGGTCAAAATGGCACCGGAGGAGCCCGGTCGCAAGCGCAGGGGCCAGGCGGTGTCCCCATCTTGCCCGCGTACCGAGGGGGGCCTCTACTGGGGCTACGAGGTGCGCCTGGCACGCAGCCTCGGGGCGGTGCTGGCCGAGGCCCCACATCCGGGGGGCTACGACCTCACCCTGGGCACCTCAGAGCGGGGGGACCCCGTGGACGCACTGGAGTTGCCGAGCAGGTACGACGATGGGATCGGAGAGCAACACTCAAAGGTGGTAGATCGCAGTGGCGGGTACACTAAAAAAACGGGGCCGTGCTTCTGCGATGCTTCGCTGCAAACTGCATTGGTATGCGACGGCATTGTTTGTCTTCTCCATAATTCGCTGATTAAGTTATGAGCAACCCTGTGGCGGGCAACTAAGCATCGTATGTCTGCACTTTTTCGTTCGATAAAGGTTCTTGTTTTTTCTCGTGGCTGTCGTGCCAGAAGGAGCCTGCCTTGCCTGTCTATCTCTAATCATTCGTCGCTTTCTTTCTTCCGGCATCTCTTTGGCATGCCAAACAGTTCAGCTATCTCCTTATCGGGCTGATCCTTTCTCCTTTGAGGCATTGCAAAGACTGCAGCACATCCAGTGAGTGTGTGTTGCGACCCAGGCATGTGCGCGATTAGAAGGGAAAACGGCATGTCTACCTCCCCTTCCGACACAGGTGCAAACGTTTTGATAAAATGACCGGAAGTTTTCAGGGGGGTCCAACATAAAAATGTGTTATCGCATATAAAAAAAAAAAAAGAGCGCCAAATGATTGCAAGGAGCATAGAAACAAGGCTACTGTGAGCTGCCGAGTATGCACCGATGTCACAATAAGCGCCACGCACTATTTTTGAAAAGCTTGAAAACTAGGAATAGGACACACATTAAGCTTCTACCCCAGACTTCTGAACCCGCCCAGCTAAATGAGGCGCTCCTCCTTGTCAGCCACTTCTCCAACCACCCAGGTGCAAAGTGGTGAAGCCCACCCTATTATGTGCCCCTTTTTGCGTTTTTGCTTTCGAACTTGACAACTGAGATCCTCCAGTTTTTCAAGATAGTTTCCAAATTTTGGATGGGCACTCGCTCAGTATTTTGTAGTGCCTTTGTTTCCACGATTTATAATGTATATATGCTCTCGCGCCTTGATGACATTTTTGAAGAAAAAAAAAACAAACGGGCAATTGCTTGTTTGTGCCAACAATGTCGCACAGTGTAGTACTACACAGGTCAGAAGACAGAGGCACGTGGTTTAAAGAAGCTTGTTTTAGCGAACGCCGTTTTACTGACGACCCAAATTGATCAAGTCCCTTTGTGAAGAAACCCAGTTTAGAAAAAGAAATGGCGATGAGTCCTGTTCTAGTGAATTCGGCCGCCATGAGCGGCTTGCATGCATGCGCCAGGTGGGTTAGCATTTTTGTAAGGAGCCTGCACTGACTGGTCGCCACGAAGTAGCATAAACGGAGGCGACCGGGTGGGTTAACAAGCACCCCAGTGATACATGCAGAAGGTAGGGGAGCCTTTTGTTAAACAACATCCCCTTTTCTATAAACGGCGTTTTCTAAACTGAGCTTCGATAAACATGTTTCAGTGAAATGGCGTTTGATCAACCGTAGTAAACACACCAGAAGACATGTCCAAACAAGACCAGCCTTTGCACACGCATAAGCACCTGTCCGAAGCACCAAATGATCCACATTTCGTAACATTGCCCCCCATGCCGGAAGCAGAGCATCACCAGCCCTGAAATGAGCTTTACAGACATTGTATAATGCACGCTTTTCTCAACGCACACAGTTACAGACATTTTTCTGCCGACTTATTACGACAGTATGTTGCGAGCGGTTTTGAACGGCTCGGGTAGAGAGTCCAGGGATTGGCATCTCTCGCAGGTTCAAGCATGCCATTGTTGTGTTTGGAGGCTTGAAAGGCCTGGAGGCTGCCCTGGAGTCTGACGAGGCTCTCGACGTAGAGGACCCTGCCTTCCTCTTCAGCCACTACCTCAACACCTGCCCTGCCCAAGGATCCCGGACAATACGCACAGAGGTCAGACCTTACCTTGCATAGTCTCGGCTTCTGGAGTACCATATTTTTCAGACTCGGACTATCGACAGGTGCGGACTTAGAGGGATTTGTTTTTGAAGCAAAGTGGTGGTTTGGGCCATTCGGTCTATATTTAGCGAAATGCAGGGTCAGCCGGCGATGGTGCTAGCGAAGCCTCACTAACGCAGTTGAAGATCTTTCATTATGACGGAACATAATGGAGTTTGATAATGACAGGCTATATTAATTGCGATTTCTGTATGATGCAAGCTTTCTTGTGCACTAATGGAGAGGGCATTTTTTGAGGAGCGCTCCGCATGAAAACTTTATGTGCAAACTACAGGATGTCTCAAATAGCGGCCAGGCTCTTTAAATGGACCGCAAAGATCGGTTTCTTCACCTATCGTGCTACAATTTTGTGCAACGTTGCCCACAGGTGGTGCATTTTTTTCTATAACATTTTCAAAAAACAATATCGCCCAAGGAAAAAAAAAAAGGGCTTAACTCCTATGGAAATGCAGCGAAGCCACTGGTCTTCAAACAATAGGGTGCCGTTTGGACAGGAGGCAAAAGATGGCGCAAGCAGTCGCGACGCCAACTGCCGCCAACGAACGAGCATACGGCTATACGGCCCCGAGAGACCGGCGTCTTTAGCAGACGATCGTTTCGACTGAAAAGCAGCGCGCGTTCCGCAGGCGGCGACAGTTGCAGAACCAAAAACAGGCGTTGTAACAACAAGGAACTGCAAAGCAGACGACATAATCACCCCGAAAGAAACAACAACAAACAATCCAAATAACTTGACAAACCATTTTTTAATCGATTATGTTCCCATTCAATGAGTTTTATTAGTAAGCATGATAAAATCACGCATTGACAACGGACATCGAAAAAGCTCGCGCCGTTTTTGAGTCAAAAATATTATCTGCTATTTGACGCCAGCTCTTGGCGCTGTATGCTCGTCCGTTGGCGGCAGTTGGCGACGCGACCGCTTGCACCATCTCTTGTCTCCTGTGCCAAACGGTGCCCTATTGTTTGAGGACTGGTGGCTTTGCTGCATTTGCATACGAGTTAAGCCTTTTTCTTTTCTTTCGTTCCTTTCGTTCGTTTTCATCCATGTCACGCTGCGGTCAAATGCGTATATAACCACATTCCATACCACACATTCTCTTTCTGACATGGATGAAAACAAACGAAAGGCTCGGCATGCTGCGGCTCACCGTCTACGCAGACGAGCCCCACCAGAGCTTCGCCCCAATCAACATCATTCACCACGTGGAGATGTGGGTGTTGTTTTAGAGCGCAGCTCTTGGGGGCCCAATCCCGGCTTGAGCGGCGTCGCCGTTAACGTCGCCGTTGGCGTAATCAAGGTCACCCCAAGGTCACACGACCCCCAAGGTCATCCCAAGGTCACGTGACCCCCTGAGGTCACGTGACCCCCCGCCGAGGTCACGTGACCTCCCAGATGACGTCACCGGCATCCGCATCGTCGTCATCATCACTGATGACATCATCAGTGACGTCACTGATGACCTCACCCGCATCGTCATCATCACTGATGACGTCACCAGTGACGTCACTGATGACGTCAACGGCATCCGCATCGTCATTGTCATCATCACGGATGACGTCATCAGTGACGTCATTGATGACATCACCGACATCCGCATCGTCATCGTCATCATCGCTGATGACGTCATCGGAGTCTCAGTGACGTCACTATTGACATCATCCGCATCGTCACGTGACCCCTCAAGGTTACGACCCCCCAAGGTCACGTGACCCCCCCAGGTCACTTCACCCCTCCTAGTACCCTTCCCTCCTCCTCCTCAAGAGCTGTGCTCTAATTCGGCGTTACAGGGAGTTGTAAACGGCTCTCACTTTTTTTCGCCCTACACGAGCGCGGGAGCACATGCTCACGTACTCAAGAGTGCGTGACCTCACGAGCAGGTGCACGAGCCCCCGATGCCGGACATCGGACGGACATATGGACATGGCTAGCCCCTAAGCAGCTTTGCCCCTAAAAGCCGGAAGCCAATCTGTCACAACAGAAATGCATTCGCCGCATGAATGTCTCACGATGTGCTGTGCTAAAAATGTCTTTATGAACAATTCGCAGTTCCCAGGGTCGTGGCAGCAATCTTGCAGATTTTTAACGTACCACTGAAAAGTTGTTTGAATGGGCATTTCAACGAAATGAACTTATTTGATTTTCTCTGCGAAATTGGAAAGTGGTTGCGTTTAAAAATTAAATCTTTGTAAAAAAATGAAAGACATTTACAACACCCTGTAACACTGAATTAGAGTGCAGCTCTTGAGGAGGAGGAGGGAAGGGTACTGAGGGGAGGGTATACCCCTCGTCCCTCCTCCTTACCTCGTCATCCTCCCTGCCACTCCTCCTCCTCCCCCTTCCGTCTTCCCCTTCTCTTCCTCTTCTCTCTCCTCCTCCGCTCCCCCTCCTCCCCGCGCGGTGCATTATGGGACATTTCCCATAATGCACCGCGCAATTACGCCGACGCCGCTTAAGCCGGAAACGGGTGCCTAAGAGCTGCGCTCTAAAAGTTGGGGCTCCAATCCACACTGTGGAGGTGGCTGGCCAGCGAAGTTGTGGTATCACTCGCAACGATTGTCCACTGCACTATATCAAATGATTTACGAAAGAAAAGTAAATGCACTGTAGCAAAACTTTTATTTTGAAACAACATTTATGACTGCTTTGTGATCACTGTGGTACATGGTGAGGTTTTCCGTTCTCACTGTAGAGAGATTCTTAGCTAACGTTAGATCAATGTATGACCCTTGCTCGGTGGTTGGCTGACTTGGAAAAGTTTTGGTGCAGTGCATGTACTTTTCTTTCAACCAATCATTTGGTATGGTGCAGTGGGCAGTCGTTGCAGGTGATACCACAGCTTCGTTGGCAAATGACCTTCACAGCGGGGATTGGAGCCCCAACTTTTTTTTCTTCTACGGTATGTTTATTCTGCGCAAAGCACAGCAAGGTTTATGCTCTCTGCACATTGCCGCGTGCGTGGCCAAGTGGCAACGCACCTAACTCGCACGCAGAGGCCCCAAATTAAATTCCTGAGGGCTGTGCAAAAATTTTTTTTTTTGCTTTAAAACTTACGAAATGGTTTTCCGCTTGCTACAGTCACATACAGCTCTAGCAGACTGCGTTGCAACTTTCTAGACCAGCGTACACAAATTGTAAGATAGATATACAGGATGAGCACGAGGTCACTATACACTGCTTTTCACTGTAAGTAAGAGCACAGCCAAGGCCACGAGCTGACGAAGCTAACCAAGCAGAACCAAAAGTGCACCGTCATGGCACTTGTCTTCTTTTGTGTGCGCTATCACAGTGTACACCAGAGGTCTCCAAACTTTCTGGCTAAGCGGCCCGATTCGCAATCTGTCGCATTCTCGAGGGCTGGAAAAAAGAAATAGTTATTATAAACAAAGAACTACTAGATAAATCAATGTAGATCAGCATTTCAACAGAGAAATGAATGTTAGAAGAAGTATTTAAAAAAAATTACCTAAGTGGATTAATACCACATATGTTTGAATTTGAAATTTAATATGTAGCGAATTATGATATTGCACAACGCACATGGGCAAAAAAACAACTCGCCACTCAATAATCAAAATGCATAAAAACTGTGGTACATTCGCGCAGTGCAAAATACCAATTAGAATGATAAGACTAACGCTGACAATACCTATCCAATAGTTGCAACTGAGGACACGAGGCACAGTGTGTACGAGAATGTGAGGGAATTTTAATTGTTATGCAGACACGAAGGGATTAAGAATGTTCATGCTAGTGATGATAATGCTAGCGGTGCAGAAGTGCGCATTGCGATGCAGCTCCTCTCATCTTTCCGGTATCTTAGTTTGCGTATTTGGAGCGTGTCGTGGCACACAGTTTCTTTCCACACTTTTTGTTTTGCACCGCTAGCAGCAGGTCTTCTGGAAGCGAGTGGGCCTGTTGCAGATGGTAGAGGAATGCTGCGTTAGGAAATGTTTCTCAAGATTTCGTTTCGCAGCTAAATTGATGACAATTTGTGAAGCTTTGCAGCGCCTGGATAGCAATGCGGGTTCGTACATGGAAATGTAGTGTACCACAGATATTCCCATAGTCCTGGGAACCATACATTTCTCTATGTAAGTCTGTGTGTTCGTGATAAAATTGCGGCCACTTAAAACCATCTAGCGACTTCCCACCCACCCTGTAATGCACGCTTTGAAAGGCATTTTCATTTCAATTCATTTATTTACTCCCATTATACATATGGGTGCCTGAGACAGGGAAAAAAAAGCTGCAAAAGGTGCAGCCTAACGAAGCCCCTGCCCCCTAAGGGCAGATTGACAGGCGGGAAAAAGTCAACACAACATTTTAAAGACTGAAAGAAACGGGCAGTGCCATGCAGAAGAAAATTTAAAAAATGAGAGGTGCACATTTTCCGTATTGTTTTCTTGTTAGCTGTATCAATACAAGCATTTCGGCCTTTTAAAAAGTTTAAAACGTTTAGTACAGTTGGCAGTGTATACTGTAGCATTTGAAGCCCATAGTTTGTCCTAGGACGAGGTACTCTCAAGGATCCGGCGCTACATACCCCATATACCATATTTTTAACACTTAGTCTAAAAAACCGCGGTCATGGGGGGTCAAAACATTTCAGGGATGCCGCATATACTAGGTATTGCAAGCTTGTATTTGTAATATTCTGGTATTTTTATTACTTTATGCCTCAAATTGCTTTCTTCTGCAATAAAAAAAAGTTTGTTGACGTTTGTACTGGTCGTTGTTACCCACACTAGGTGACAATAGAACATAGGAGAATTGAACGATGCTCTATAAATTCAGTGTTTAACGCTACATGGTAACATAACGATGTTTATATAGAATACCTACGATATTAGAGAGTTCAAGTGTAAGATTTTGAATATAGGAGTCTCATGATATATGTTCATAAAAAATTACACCTAAAGTTTTAACAGTATTTACAAATTCAATTTTTCTATGTATGCGCGCGTCACACCTCAAAGGTGTTCTTTTTTTTGCGGCTCTTAAGAACATCTTAAAATGATGGAGGAACCCGAGCTAGTGGGGATAATGAAATGCTTGGGGGTCAGAAGATAATAAAAAAAGTGTAGCAAGTTTTACTTTTTAAAAAGTATGGTTTCAAATCTTGCAGGAGGCCGTACTGATATCCTTGTCAGTCTTGAGGCCGAAAATCAGCGCTGCACAGAGTGGAAGTCCTGCATGAAGGGGATGTGAAGGTCCTTGTTGGCCCTCCGCTTCCTCGGTGTCCTAAAAATGCTGCCGTCATCAACGTCCATTGATTCTTCGTAGCCTGTCCTTGGCAATTTTGTCGAAAAGAAGAAGCCCCGATGCCCTTTCTATGGTTTCCACTGGAACCTGGAACAAATGGACAATTTTATTTGTCCGTTATAAATAAATAAAGATTCACCCGACTCGCGAGTCTTTGCAGTTTATAGTATCACTTTTAAAGTGATGTGCTTGCTTTCGCACAGATTTGTCCATCACTGTTAAGTCATAAACTTTCCAGCGTCCCTGTATTTAGATAAACTTAATCTTAAGGACAGTATTCATGATGCAAGAGAACTGGACCTGGAAGGTCCAGTTTTCTTGCATCATGATCATCATCATCATCACTTGAAATTTTATATTTCGTACAGCCGCATCTCTTACAGGGTCGAGGATAGAGGAAGAAATATTTAATTTGAAGGAATGAACAAGAGACGCTTGTTTCATGGCACGCAGTCATGCTGGAGCTCCTTTGACAATAATGTTAAGGGTCTTTTGAGAGAACTTACCAAGAAGGATTTGAGGGGAGTGGCATCATCAATAACAGCATTCGGCATGACATAGGCCTCCAAATCGAATTCAGCATTTTCGGTTTCGGCAACAACGACTTTAAAGAAGTGTGTTGGGACTGCCACGTGGTTGGCTCCGATCACCTGGTACTTGACATACTTTTTTCCGTCACTTTCCACTCTGGTTGGAGGAAGGAGAGGAACATACAAGACACTATACTCCATTTCACCTTGAGATGAACAGCAGCAGATGCTACGAGCCAATCCAACCAATCCAGCCACATACCATGTGACTAGACGCACCACATGTTGCTGTGCGCCCCCCCCCCTCCCTCACCCCAAAAGTCACACGACACTTTCACGGAATTCGATTGGCTCTGTTGGCTTGTAGTGTTATCCACAGTCCATTGCAAGGGGAAACAGTATAGACACTTTTACTGTTTACAAAACTGCTGCTTGCATCCCAAGCAACTTCCGGTCGCTCCGTATTTGCAAGCCTGTCAAGCTAGCTTATGTCACCAGTGCTGGAAAGCGTAAATGCTACACGAACAACAAAGTTGGAGATTTAGCGAGGACCTCTGGCTGTACGATTTAACGTCTTAGAGGAGACAAATCAGTTGACAAGAATTTTTGAAAAATTTGAGCACATCTCGCGCTTCTTGGTTCTTTTGGCATTCACCTGGAGAATAGACCAATCTCGCTAAGCGTTCCACGCATACGTGACACCGCCATAACTGTAGTTCACAAGAGGTAGGCACCCCCCAAGACAACTTGTACCGTCTTTCTTGTGCTCTGCTCGCACAGACCTTCAGCGTGGTTGTCGCACGTGCAGGAAGATTACAGTTCCCACGATGCATGGCGACAGCAGTGGCGTACTCAAACTAGCTGGTGAGATTGGTCTATTGGTGGTTAAATGTCTCATTGATGTTTCAAGTAGTGGTGTTAAGGTGGGTTTTGTTCATTCTTTTTATGAACCGGAAGTCCGCTGGAACAACAAAGACTGGAGCACCGCCTCTAGGCATTTGCAAAGGAAAGGGTCTATACACAAGACACGGGGATTGCTGACAAAATGCTGTCTTTTGACACAACTCACCTTGGCAGGTACAGGGGTCCTGTGCAGACATAGACATTCTTGTATTTATTTGTCATGTGGCGGACATGCTTTTCTAATCTGTTCCAAGAGTCTCGGTTGAACCCCTTTCCAACCTGAAAAAGAGGTGGTTGATCATTTAATTGTTATCGGAACACACGTGTCGCAAGATGTCCTCAGTACAATGACCTGATACTGAAGGGTAGTGGTTCTCAAGCATGGGTGTGTTGGGGACCTGCCTAAGTGATGAGGGTCCCCATGCTAGTGGGGGAGGTGGAAGGGAGGGGTAGGTTAGAAAACAAGACAACTAATTGCGCGTGAAAAGGGCATCCTTTACAGGAGAAGCATCAAGTAAAAGGATGAATGGATGGATAGATAGTAACGGTTGTACCCTTCATAATGGGCGGCAGCTTGCGCCACCTAGCCAAAAGCAACAAAAAACTTGAGAAAAAAAGGGGTTTGGGTCTGCAGAACCCCATTAGAGAACCACTGCTGAACGTTATCGACTAGAATTTCAGGAGCAGTTCCAGATACAAATGGCAGGTGCAATGAGTGAACAAAAGGTTAGGGGGCAAACGAGCTGGTGGTGGTTAAACATTTTACTAAAAACCCCGAGACTGGGACGAGAAGGGACGGAAAACACGAAGTCTCAAATGAAACTTTGCGTTTTCCGTCTCTTCTTGTCCCAGTCTTGGGGTTTTTAGTCAAAGGTGGAATGACTGTTCAGACAACAAGAGCGTTAGCTATATAGGTTAGGTTCCTTTGTTTAGAGCTGGGCATGAAGGCTTACTGCAGATAGCATTCCATCTGAAGTCTCCAGACAGTATAGTTTGCACAAAACTTTTTTTTTCACTGTGAAAGTTGGTTGAAATACTGGCTCCAGAAATGAAATGTGTGTTCTTATTTCTTTGTTTATGTATGGTCTATGTTTTGGTGGCAGCCCAGAAACACTAGTCTAGACTCTAGACTATTGTTTCTGGGTTGCCGGCAGATAGTCAAGAAAACTAATTTTAAAACGAATGAACAGCTTTTAAGATTGCACCTGGTGGGGATCTGCGAAGCTCTATTGGAATGCCGCCACGTCATCGGCCTCCAAGAAGCAGCACCAGTTTGCGGTAGTATGACTCCGTCGTGGAGTTACTTAGTCCTGAATGTGACTTGGTGGAGAACGCTAACAAGTATACTACATTGTATATGTTAACTTCCACAGTGCTTCCAGAACATGTATTCCACACCAGCGGCGTAGACTATCCATTTTCCCAGGGGGGGGGGGGGGGGGGGGGCTTTTCCGCACAATTTTTTTTACACCGGCAATTATCAGTAGTTCATTTTAGGGGGTACATTTTACAGTGTTTGTATATCTTCTTCAGCTATCATTGTAACAGCAGTGCTCTTGGTCCAGTGCTTTTTCTAATTTTTATTAACGACTTGCCAACTAATATTTTCTGACACATGCGGCCCTTTGCGGACAACTGAATCATCTATCGCTTCATTGGGCGCGTTAAGTTGCAACTCCATGACTCTGGTTCGGGCAACTCCGTCGGAGTCGCTACTAAACAGACTTTTGGAACAGCTCCGGATGGAGTAGGCACCCTCTTATGAACTTCTAATTGTTTTATCTTTTTTTTTTTTTTTTCTGGTGGGGCATCGCAAAATGACAGGCTGCTGTGGAAGCAGACCAAGCAGATGTAAAAGTGATCGACGTGGCATTACCTTCTCACCAGAACTGGAGATTGAAGCTAACGAAAGCACGCTGGGATTCCATTTTCCATGTATTTTGTCAATAAAGGCAACGTGAGCATTCTTTTGTTTACATGCCACTACTAGAAGCTTGTTACATGGCACGTAAACAGCGTCTCAGTAAGAATCATGGCCCGAGGGGGGGCTCTGCCCCCCCCAGATCTCATTATTGAAGGTATTCACTGGACGCCATATGGCGAGGTTATAAACAAGCTTTTCTTCTAGGTATTACGCACATTTGACCTCGGAAATCCCGCAAAACCTTCTCTTGTAAAGTGCAGTTCCAGGGTCACCACATAGATGGCGCCAGTGTGTCAGTCTGTTCTCTCGTCCCAAGCAATTTTAAGAGGTTTCAACAGGTTTCGTCTCTCTACGTCATACTTGGTTGCAAGAGTGTGAAGGGGCCTTTACATCACCTCTGAGTGCCACAGTCAATGCAGAGCGCATCTGCTTGTGCAGGGGTTAAGGTGATGTGTCAGAACGGCGAGCTCTGATTGGCTCAGATTAGAAGGATAGTGGGTACACCTTAATGCCCTGAGGTCTACCTACTATCCTTCCAATCAGAGCTAATCAGAGCTTGGTGCTCCCACATCACTGCAACCCCTGTGCACGAAGCAGACTAAATAGCTATGGGATGATTGTCTTGTAATCAAACTAATAATTTAATGGAGTAAGCAGGTGGATGCAGAGAGAGAGACAGAGACAGAGAGATAGTAAATATAACTTTCTACTCTTGACTAAAAGCAAGCAAACACGGATCATGCAAAAAGAAAAAAAAGGTATATACTGACGAGTAATTTTATTGAAAAGTCCTATGCATCGAACGAACACTACAGGAACGTAAACCGAAACAAATTAATCTGTCGAATGGGGAAAAAAAAAAAAAAAAAAAAGAGCACAACTCGCCTGCGGAGCCATGTTACTAAGCAGGAATGTCTGGTCTACGTCGCGCTGACACTTCCGATGGTTGCCCGCTGCGGCCAAATGTCCCCGGTCAAATCCGCTGCCCTTGTAGTCGGAGTTTCGCGCCTGGAAGTACGGATGCACCTCGGTGTCTTCGACGAAGGTGCACTTGGACCTGTCCACTTTGTCGTTCTTTTGCAAGCTCTCCTTGGTGAGGTGTTCGAACACCCAGTGAGCCGTCCTGTTTCTACGGTCGTAGGACAAAACGTAGTCGTCCAGGAAACGGACTGAGTCCGTACCCGGGAAACCGAAGCGCATGATTTGAGACGGGCGGCTCGAGGTGGCCGCCGGTTCGGTCGGCACGATGCTCGTGCTCGGGAGCAATGTCGCAGCGTGGAGTCTGTTCTTCGCCGCAATGTGATCGTACGTTCGGCAGCCGCACCAACCCGCAACGGCGGCCGCAATTAGCTGTACCCCCCGCCGATGAAGTAAAGTCATTATTTTAGAAAAGTATGCCAAAAAAAAAACGACACAAGACGATGCCACGAGATGAAGTACGCTCGCACGAGGCGTTGAACTCACAACTCACGACCACAGCTGACACACCAGCGGGCTCAGTCGGAGTCCACAGTGTTGTCAGCTCAGTTCAAATACTGCGCTCTAAACCGCAGAAGAAAGTGCCCATGGGGCGGCTTATAGACGAAATTATTGTGTTCCGAGAAAACGCGCGCCTCAGTATTATATGTATAAATATACAACCGTTTCGTCATGTTGACGATTATTGACATCTCTGAGTATATGAATGTGAGGAGGCAATATATCAGTAATAATAATAATACTAATGACTAAAGGGCTAGAATGTCGAGGTGGTATCAATATCCAGATCTGCGGTTGTTTCACAGCACTGAAGACGGGGACGTCATAACAGGCTGAATAATAAGGGGCAAAAAAAAAAAAAAAAAAAGGAAAATGTCCCTCATCACTGTATCAGACTGCGCCGCTAGTCATTAATGGCGGCGTTGCTGGACGGTTCGCCCGCGCTGTCATCGGACAAGAAGGTCTCGTGCAGGCGGGTCGAGGACGGCCTCTTCTTGCGGAGGGGCGACAGCGGTGCGATGGTGATGAGCAGCTCGGGCCTGGCCCTGGACATTGACTGACGCAGCATGGCCTGGCTCAGCCTGTCGGACGGCTCGCCATCCACGTGCGTCAGGATGTCTCCAGGGAACAGGTGGTGTTCCCGGTTGCGGATGCGCACGTCCTTGGCCCTCTGCGATAGGAACGGACCAGTCTTATGGGAGAAACCACAACGTTTCGGAGATCTCCCACAAATAATGTGGCTAGGACTTTTATCGCATGCGTGGGCCTTGTGCTTGAGACACAGTGAAAATGGCAAGGTTAAACATTTTTAAGCGCCATTTATGGACATCTAAAACCCTAAACCTCAAAGGCTTCTACATCGTTTCATACTTAATGCAGAACGCTGTCAAAACTGCTAGAGGTCATCTTACACTTTTCAATGTCGAGGCACCCCTTTTTCTCTTGACTGAGATCCAAGGAACTGCCCCAAGTCTCGACATTGATTCAGTAAAAAAAAAGTGTAGAAGACATTTTAACAATGCACGCCCTAGGGAGTGTATGTCTCATAGTTATGCATCAGTATTTGGCTCCGCACTGGGACGGACTCTTGACAGCCCGTTGAACCCACAAGGAGGTAAGCGCCTGGGTTCCCAAAAACCCAGTTTAGGACCGATGAGTGCAAGCACGTGCAGCTTGCTCGTGAACATAGCTTTGGCAAGCTTGAAATTGCACGGGCTTGTCCGCACGAGCAGAGACATGGCGGCGGCCAGTGGCTTTGCTTGCAATCGTCTATGCTCGTTTCCACTTCAAGAACCGTAGTAAAAAAAAGTCCGGCCCTCGTGGAGCATTACTAAAGGCCCGTTCACACTCTTGTCCTTGAAACCTGTTACAACGAGACGACACACTGGCGCCATCTATTGGGTAGCAGTGTTAAACTTGGCGGTCCGGCATATTTTCTATTTCTCTCGCGCATTATCTTTTCTTTCTTGGCTCGAAAAACTTTTGTCAGCGTTATAAACGAGCCTTTCTTATAGGTATTACGCACATTTGACCTCGGAAATACCGCAAAACCTTCGCTCTTGTGAAATGTAGTTCCAGGGTCACCGCATAGATAACGCCAAATTGCCAGTGTGTTCTCTCGTCCTAAGAAATTTTAAGAAGTTTTAACGAGTCTCGTCTCTCTCGGTCGTACTCGGTTGCAAGAGTATGAACGGGCCTTAATTTTACCCTTTATGCAGCAAATTAAGATATATGTAGGCTTATTTTAGATTAAATATGTCATTTTTTACACGCTTCAAACTCCACAAGCATCGCCTCTCCCTCCGACAGGCAAGTCAAGTAGGAACTACTTCGCGCGGCGTATCAACAACGCGCAAAACGTCATTCTTTTCTTGAGTCTTATTTGAGCGAGAGCACGTGCTGAGGTACCGCAAGATCAAGCCACACGCTCGCACCAGCAGCTTTGACAGCGTTGTGCACTGCACATTAAAGGGTAACTGCAAAGAAACAACAATTTTTTAAACAGCCTAATTGGGACAAGCATGTCACAAAACAAATCTTCCGCAAAAAAAACAAAAAAACAATGTTTTTTCTAGCAATGTTTACGCCACACGACGTAATTTAGTCGGGGTCACAGCTTCTCCCTATGTGAAATGCCCGCCATTTTGACTCGCGCAGAGTAACAGTTATACGACACTCCGTGACGTAAAGCAGCCACTACGTGACGCATAATACCGACTTTGTGGCGCGCGATTTAAAACGGACGAAATAGCCTCAAACTAAAATCAGTCTCGCGCAATAAATATTGCTGTAAAAAAATTTGTTTTTGGCGGAAAAATTGTTTTTTGACACGCTAGTCCCAATTTGGCTGTTTAAAAATACACTTTTTTTCTTTCCAGTTACCCTCTAAAGAGAGTACACAGGTTGCTTGTTTGATTCATTGCCGCGCAAGAGTTCAAACCTACATCAATATGTTAGTGCCTGCGTAAGGATTCATTCCTCGGTACGCATCTTTAAAAATGGGTTGTAAAGTGCATGAGCGCATGTAAGGGCAAATCGGTAATTTTGTTTTTTGGGCACAATTCCTAGTTGTGTTCATGACGAGTTGCTTTTCTGCGGATATATGAACAACATTTTTTTTTGGCAATGTAGTCAGAGTGTCGAACCGAAATTTTTATCAGTTCGGTTCGGGTTCGGGTTCACGGCTTTAGGTTCAGTTCCGGTTCAGCTCCGGGGAGTAAAATATAACGGTTCAAACCGGTTCGAACCGGTTCAAACCGGTTTGAACCGATAAATTGAGAATTTGTTTTCCGCGGTTTTTTCCAATATGCACTATTTCCGCCGTGAAACGAGTAACTGTATAGTTGTGTATCGTTTTCGTACAATCTACTTTTACTTTCAGGTACCAAAAATAAGAAATTGCGTTATTTATTTTGACACAACAGTAAAATAAAATCTAGATTAACATAAAGAAACGTCGTGTTTATACGACTGAGCATTCATCTGTTTACCTCAGTTATATATATTTTACCTTGATCGAAAGGTAGTCACGAAGTACAGTAGGCCACCTAAAATACCCGTGATTGGTACAGCTTTGCATCGCAGGATTAAAAGCTGAATCGTTATTGTGTTCTTGAACTAGGAAATCAATTGCAGTGCCTAAAATCATGGAATGGGTATCTCGTCGCCGTAAATATCATAAAATATACTTTACAAAATACGTTTTACAATATACCAGGAGCGGCCGTCAGGAGCAACATATTTTGCACGCCTTGCAACATTCGAATTCCAAGCGTACATATCTGAAATTGGGCGCGCGGACGTAGTTTTTAAGAAGTTGTATCTCCAACTTGTTCCTTTAGAACTCAATTTTAAGGTCGTGAAGTATTAGAAATGCATTGCATTTCCTGTGTCCTATACCAGCCTGTTTGTCGTCTGCACACTTGTTTCTGAGGTCACTCCCAGGTTGCTTGCTGAACGCAACAACGCCGAAACTCAATAGCAGAAGCTGGCGATGAGCAAGATAATCGCGATAATTAATACTTCTTACGAAATATATAAACAATGCCTACTTGGGAGCAATCTCACAAACCAGTGTGAAGACGATGAACATCCGGTACAGGGCATAGGAAATGTACGATCGCCATTTTCGCTATATTTTTAATACTTTACTATGGCCTTAGCTCTAAAAAAAAAATCAAAACTTTTCGCGAGATAAGGTTCGCATGCCCAATTTCAAGTATGTACGTTTTGAATTCGAATTTCGCAAGGCGTGCCAAATGTGTTAGCCCATATGGCCGCACCCTGTATATGATGACGACGCGACTGAGCTAAAAGCAGTTGAAATATTTATGACAAACGCATGCATTTGTAGTCACTCTGAATCAGTGACATACCTTTTATAAAAACGGTGACAATCACAACACTCGTTTTCCTAACTAACACCCTTTACACTCAGCGCCGTGATGCAGGCGAAGAATCATGCCGATAAAAGGGATCCAAAATGGTGCACTATCATTTATACGCAGCTTCGCACTCAGGTCGAATCTGGCCTAAAATAGCGCGTACTCAAGTGAACATTTTTCTTATATAGTATAAAGTGGCATAGCCGGGCTTTTGAGGTTTGTTCTTGGGAAGATGCCAGTCAATTCCATTTGAAAATAAGAATCGCACTTGCTAACTGATATTTTACTTATTTATTTATTTATTATATACTGCAGGCCTTGATTAGGACCGTGCAGGTGTGGGGTACATTTCCAAAAGATGTAATTAATAAAAAAGGACACATTTCAATATTTCAAATATCGTTTTACATAACTAACGGTAAAAAGAATAGCAATGACTGTCGGAAGAAACGATCAACGTACCGATCTAAAAGATGCATATATATATATATATATACAAAAAAGGCACATTTGAAAATTTCAGTCGTCGTTTTACATAACTAGTAGTAAGGAGAATAGCAAAGGGTGTGATAATATGCAATGAACGCTCGAATTCAGAAATGAGACAGAAAATATAAATATAAACTTCAGTTGCCAGTCAGCGTTGTGTTCGGTCACTTATCGTTCTTGTCCCTTGTTTTTTTGTGTGTTTTGTTTTGCGCTGTTTCCAAGTTTGTATGATTTAGTGCTTTATTGAAGTCAGGGAGATAAAAACATTATAGGGCAGTCTGTTCAAATTAGATAGAGTGCGTGGAAAAAATTACAACTTGAAAATGTTAGTTCGAGCAAACATAAGCTGGAGAGAAAACTCATGGTGGTTCCTAGAACAAAATAGTATTTTATGCTCTACTCAACATGACAGCCCTGACGTTCTGCGTGCGTAATCGTCATAGTTCCGTCACGCTTCCCTGTTGACTTTGTTTTTGTCCTGCCCAAAGACACATCAAATTGCTGTTCATGACATAAAGGAGGCAATAACAAATTTCTATATGTTTGGCAAGTTAGATATGCGTGAGGAACACAGTAACGCTTGCAAATCGCTTCGGGTCTATCGAGGATAAAAATGCCAAAAAAGATCTGCAGAGCATCCTTCAGATAATTTGCGGGTGAATTTACTAATGATGTATATCTTCAAGGTGATCGACCTTTCATTTATGTTGTGAAACCTTCAGTCAGTAATTCAATATAGTTTTATTATCATCAATAAATGTGACTGTATTAAGTTCACATAACTGAACATAATGGTTTGACGGGCTCGTTAGTTGTTGACAGACGTAATCAAAGAGTAGTGCATAGAAGACGAAATAAACCTTTTAGTTGCAAGTTAGCGCTGGTCCTGTGTTTTACTTCTTCTCTGACCCGTCTTTTATGCGGTACTCTTTTTCCATGTCACATAACCGCTTGAGACCGATACGGAAGGACAATACTCGAATACACCAGCGGTTGAGGGCTGTGGCAACATTTTTTATTTTTTTTATTTCGCCGTTTGGAAGTGTGAAACACCGGGTCGCCGGATATGCATAATAGGACTTTGTGCTAATATAATAGATTTGAAGTGAAATAGGCGAAATGGGCAGAAAGAGAACGAAAATAAATGGTAATCCTAAAAAGAATCTGATACACGACGCATTAACGCAAAAAAAAAAAAAAATTGTAGAGACGTAATGATATACTAATTACACATAAATAGCCCAAAGGACAGACGAAGATTCTTATATCACTAACTTAAATTACATTTGGCTTTCAGTTTGCATAAACTTGAAACTTCGGGAAATACCGCCTCGGGAGGTTAATGTTACATTCGGCCTTGACGTGCTCTTGTTTTTGGCACTCACTTTACAACTTTGTGCTTTCAGTCATTCGCTCTAACATTTTGTTTGCCTACTATATATCATCGCGAGACTGCTATCTATACTCCACAAATATAGAATTCGATTATCTGCTTTTGCTAGTTTTGCGAACATCGCATTTCATAAGGAAACTGAACTGTTTAACATGGTTTGCACGTGACGTCATCGCACTATGCTGGTGGTAATAGACCTTTCCGGAAATATGTGGCGTCCCCATTGTATGCTTGACGCATTGTGACGTTCCGATGTACGGCACGTGAAATTCATCAGGAGGTCGGGACAAAGTCGACGTTGGTTTAATGTTCTGTGGTTTAATAACTCAGAGAAGGCAGAAGGAAAGCAAAACGGAGAATGCGATGAGCTCTTTTTGTGTTCCCATTATTTTTTGGGCGTTCTAAGCTCCTAATTATAAAAGAATGAACCGCGTCGCTACTAAAATATACGAAGCGTTCGAGCCGGCACGAGCGTATATCGGAACAGCCCCACAATTCCCACTGCAGCGAAATCTTTTGGGATTTTCCGTAAGGCTCTATTGCAATTGCTCTTAGTCAGAAAATAAAAACAGGTAATGCAAAATGCACGCTGCAGAAGGTTTACTTTGAGTGTAAGCCATGTATTTGAGAGACACAAATTATTCTTGCTTGGAGAAGCGCCGTGAGGAACGGCGCGAGAACCTGGCACCACGAAATCGCGCTTTATGGTTAGAGTATCTTTTGCAAAGATGCTTGTTTCCGTGGCCACGCTTTCTTGTCTATGCCGGAAATGCGGAGCAGAGAAACCGTTACAACACAGTACACTCTTAAAAGTACCCCCTCCCCCCCTCTTTTTTTTTCTTACTTTTTTATTGCTCCTTTAGAGACTACTTTTTCTTACTGAGGGACTCCCTACTCCGTTTGTGGGTGTTAATTCGGATTATTAGGATAATTTTCCATCGCTTTTATTTTGCACCCAAAAATAAACAAACTACGGAGATGGTCGAAGCTTGGGGGCAAATGTCCCTCCGAGGCCACTAGAATCTTTCTTTTCCGATATCCCTCTCTTACACAGTTGTAGTTCTATGCAACATAAGATTAATTAATAATACATTTCGTAAATGCTTCACGGGGACAACTATCTGAGGCAGTTCAGGAACAACGAAAACATGTTTGGGTGCCTCAATGATTTATAGGCGTAAAATAGGTCGTCAACAGTTTTTGTACTTTCAGTAAATACCGTAAAAAGCTAATCCCTGACTTTGCTAACTTGAAAAAATAGTAATACCGATGAGACACAGAAAAAAATGAAGGAACGAAACGATCCCCCCCACTCACCTCGCAATTAGAACAAGCGGTCACGTGAACGGACGCTAATTAGAGAAAGGGGTGAGCTTCAGACATTGTTAAGGTTCTACTATTCTTATCTTTAATTGACCACGACTCATTACGCGAGAGTTTGGTGATGCTGACTGTCATAAACCCGAGCACTCGACTCCGGCTCATGACAAGCGAGTACGCTAGGGTGCAACATGACTTGCGGTGCGAAGTCGTGATGTCATGTGACGTCAAGATGTCAACAACGCCAATAAATCTCATGACGTTCTAAATTTAAATCGATTTGACGAAGTGAGTCACATGAGGTCACTGGACCAAGTGACGTGACATTACTTGACAGCATGTCTTGACACTAGAGTGCCTGGCGCGCGTTTATGACTGGTGAGTTTAGTGTCCCATCTCTCTTAGCAGTAGTCCCAAAGTGTTACCAAATGACGTCATAAAAGCTGGAGTATTCTGCTGTCGGATGACGCGATTCTGGCGGTTCGTCGTAGGAATGCTGGCGAAAAGCACGAGCGAACGCGAGTGTCGCGGTCGTCATGGCGTCCCAACTTCTGGCTGCCAAAGCTACCGTGAACTGCCGCACTGGAGAGTGACCTGCAGCAGAATAGGCGTCTGCCACATGAACCACCGCTGCTGGGACACCGCCAAGATCGCGACCGGCGGCAGCACGACATTTCTATGATGTCATCAAGCGGACATTGAGGGACCACTTTTTTGGCGCGGTAAACTCACCAGTCGGAGACGCGTTCCAATCATTTTACATGACACTATGCACGTCAAGTGACCACGTGACACATGATTAATCCTACTGCCAAAACAAGAGCACTACGAGAACCCATAATTTCTCACACATAGCAGTTCTGAATATGACGATTTGATCAATATATATAGAAATTCAGCTGCCAATTTCTTATTCTCGAATATTTATTTTGTGATACTAACAAAAAACAAATCCGTGAACCGTTTTGAACCGGTTACCGTTATATTTTTTTTCGGTTCAGTTCCGGTTCAGTTCCAAGATGGCGGCAAAGATTTCGGTTCGGTTCAGTTCCGGTTCGGCTAAAAATAACGGTTCGGTTCCGGTTTTAGGTTCAATTCGGTTCCGGTTCGACACCCTGAATGTAGTTAAAGATACGGGCACGCGCGCCCTCTCTCCTCTCCTCCTCCCTTCCAAAATGCCAAGCAAAGGCTCGTATCTGCACAGAATGGTTATCAACAACAAAACCATAGTAGTACACTGCGGTTCAGGCTTTTAATCCGACCAACGTTTAATCCCAATCATGGTGGGATGCAGTGCGTAGGTGCGTGTGCACGAGCGCGTGTTTGAAGCTACTTTGCATGGGGTTTTCTTTTAAGTTGCTTCGTTTGAATGAATCAACCTTGAATGAGATTTTATTTGAAAGTTTCCATGATTAGCAACTCAATAAGCCAACATAAAAAAAAGAAAGAAAGAAGTGGCATTGGTTTACACAGAAGACAATTTTGTGCGGTACTTTACCTGTATGATGTGCAGACGACTGAAGCCCTTCTCGTATTGGTCCCAGGTTTTGGCCTCGAAGGTTGTAAACCCGTACCAAGCACCCTTGCGGCAGCCGGACCTCACCAAGGACAGTGACATCGTCAGGCGTCCGCAGGACCGCAGAATGGCGCTCATGTCCTGTCTGATAAGTGATCGACGAAATAACTTACGTGTCTCTTTGTTTTAACGTACGGTTCATAATGCGGGGTGGTTATCATTTGAGCCCGTTCTCGTTTCGCCCTTCTTACTTGGCCCTTCTCAAAACAACCATTCTCAAAAAGATCTTCTCGTTTTGGCCCCTCGCATTTGGCCCATTCCCGTTTCGCCTTTCGCATTCCAACTCTCCTCATTTGGGCCCGTTCTCGCTTCGCCCTTCTACCCTGGCCCTTTTCAAAACAGCCATTCTCCAAAATATCTCGCTTTGACCCGCCGCACTTGACTCTTTTCATACCAAAATCGTTTTTAGGGTAATATTAATAAATACATTGATATATTTTGTGCGCGTGTGTGTGTGTGTGTGCGTGTGCCACGCTACAGGCATACTTTCTCTCCTAAGGATTTTAGCAGTGCGTCGAGGTCGTCGTGAAAAGCTACTAGCTGACAATAAAACAGACCAACTATTTATCGCAGCCAGATCATATTCCGAAATGTCACGTTGTTTGAGGTCTCCTGACTTGGGACAGTGCTACCACTTCTATAATGCAGTGGTTCTCAAATGGGGGTCTGCGAAGGCATCCTAGGGGTCTGCGAAGCCCTGTCTCAACAGTCAAGCACTGCAATATTAGTTGTCTTTCTTCACGCTGAGAAGAAACGTTCCTATTTTCGGGTGAGTACTGAGTACTCTCGTGTGTATGTCAATGAGATAAGTCTACTTCACACTAGCAATTAGTTATATTCATTTATTAAATCATTATCATAATAACCTATACCTTTCTGTTCCCCGCACCCTGAACGGGGTCCTCCATCATCTCCACCTTTCTACAAGGCGTCCGCGAAACATCAATGGTTGAGAACCACTGCTATTATGTATGCTATTTCTGTTCAAACAAAGTTTCCAAATTAAACGTTTATCGCTTTTTTTCTCTCGTTTGCTTAGAGAAAGGGAAGCAGGCGTCAATATACGATTCTCAGTGCGTACCTCTACACATAACATATATCTGATGGTATGTTGGGGGCCCAAGCAAGCTAAGGCTCATCAACAAAACCGCGAAGGCATAACGACGTTAGAAGCACGCCGAACTAGTGTCATTCGGTCGTAGCGCGAACGGGTGAAATGGGAATGGGTCCAGTTGCAAAAAATACAATTTGGATCTTATGAGAAGGTTCAAACAAGGCGGACCAAATGAGAATGGGACGAAATGCGGACGGTCAAAATGCGAATGGGACGTTTTCAGATAACGGGCGAAATGAGAATGGGCCCAGTTGCGAAAAACACGATTCGGATCTTATGAGAAGGTTCAAACGAGAAGGACCAAATGAGAATGGGACGAAATGTGCAAGGTTCAAGTGCGAATGGGACGTTTTGAGATATAACCCATAGTGCGATCGTCATTGATATTGGTAGTACAGATGACAGCCCATGTTTTTTTTTTTTTTTTTCGGAGAGGGTAAGCTCTGAAATATTGCTGCGAGGGTGGGGTACATATTGACGCAACGGCTTATGATATAACTAATAATAACGTTATTTTCATGAGTATGATGGAGAAAAAAAGCAGCTGCAATGCTCAGCCTCACACCCCTACAATGGTCAGCTGCGTTCAAGCGTGCAGGAAATACAGATAACTGAACGTACACACAGAAATAAAGCGTGACTGTAACCAACGACTGAAAATCGCTTCTCCGCAAAGTAAACCACACTGAAAATGATCAAAATCACTAAAACACATTTAAGAAAAACAAAACAAAAGCGCAAGCCTTTAGTGGTTATTATAGACTATCAAATTCAAGATTATTTGCAAACACACTAATTTAACAGACGTGGGAGGGTAAAGTTAGGCATTTGGAAGCCATAATTTGTTCTCTGAGTGACCATCCTCCATTTCTCTGCACGACGAACAGGGTACTACGGCAAATGCCTTCTGAACAACGCTAGTTTTCAAAAAAGCACCAACACCTTATCTTTTCCTCCTTAAAACTCGTGCGTAATCGATATTCATGTAACTTATAAACATGAATTATTTTGAAGGTTTTCAAATAGTTCAGCAGTGTGAAAATCAAACGCCACATCACAATTTATCGAGAAAGAGTTTTTTTTTAGTATTCATTAATGTTGACGTGCCCCAAGCAAGGTGGCATTATGTTAAATGCGATACGAGTAAAGAAGTATAAATCAGTAATTGAACATTCGCCGGCAAAACAGAATGACATCGATTTACAATTCCCACTACACGAGCTAGCTTCGGAATAAAATCGTTTATATGATTATCCCATGACGTGTTCACATTAAAAAACTCTGAGAGCTTTAAAACAACTAAATATTTCACTGAAGACACAGCTATAGTTAAAATTTTATTAATTACGACTAGATTATTTATTTGTTTTTTGGGAGAGGGGTCGAAAATTTATAGCTTTTGTTTTACCATTGTTTACTTTTAATGAGTTATTAAATCAATAAACACCGCTCACAATCAGTTGTAAAGTAACAACCATATTGCCAAAGCTTTTTTTTTTTCTTCTAAGCATTGTGCCATATTTGCAGCCTTCTATATAGTCTCAGTAGCGACTAAAACCAAGCTCTGGAGCGGAAAGTTAGCAGTAATTTTTGTATTATGTCAAGTACTCATACACACCCCCCGAATTCGACAGATGTCCAAAAGGTAGCTGGGGGGTGTCTTGTTAAACTTGTCACAAAGGTTTAACAACAAGAGAGCGGGTGTAACGAATGCCCGATACACTTTTTGTTTTTCTTTTGAGAGTTGACTTAACAATACTACAGGGATGGGCAAAATACTTGCAAACATGCATTTAAGTACAAATATAAAATACTTCGACAAAATGTATTTATTAAAAATTTAATTACTAATTCTAGAGAAGTATTTATATAGAATATACAAATACAATGAGGGTACTTGATTATCTTCAAACACTTTTACAAATACATTTCGTTCTGAGAGATTAACACCCAAACCCTAAATTTATCCAAAGCAAAAGAGCAAAAAGAAAGTTTATATATATACTAAGAATCAAGTTCTTACAATAATGTTGCAGCCCTAAAAGTTTATCATAACTTGATGGGGAGGTAAAAAAAAAGCGTCAGGAATACCAATATATTTTTATGCATCAAAGCCTTTTCAAACAACAAGTCATTAATGAGACATGCTTAAAAAATTAAATCACTCAATCAAAAAGTCAATAATTGTAAGAAGTTAATAATTGTAAAATTCAAAAGCGGAACAGGTTTCAGTCTTTGCATACGAGTCCCATCAAGAAGGGTGCCCATTATCGCATTTGATTGCGAAGAAAACTGCTCAAAATTGTACTTTGGCAACATTTTAAATACGTGTATTCAAAACACATGTATTTAAGATAATTATTTTTCAAGATTTAAATACAGTTGATAATTCCATTCCTCAATCTTTCATTAAACACGGACCACAATACACTCAAAAGTATTTTATATACGTTTTTGTATTTGAAATACTGCCCATCCCCTGCAATATCCACCAAACGCTCTGGGGCTATAGGTCTTCTGTTCCTTCTTTGGATTCAAACATGCGTCTTGGTGAATAGATCGCAGATGAGCTTGAATCTTTTAAGTTGTCAGTATTTTTGTTTCTTGATCCTTGCAGTCTCCAGTTAACCGCGTGCGTATTGGGTTCAGTTGCTGGCTATACTCAGTTCCCCCCCTAAGCTGACAGTGCAGTGGAAGCTACTTGATCGTTGGACCAATCACATGGCTATTACAGCGGAGCTGTTAGAGGCTAGTTTTCCCAGGATTGTGCACGTCAGCAAACAAATGATGACACAAAACTCTGGACAGTTACCGCCATCTATGAGCGGCGGCGGCAACCAGACAACCGGCTTGGTTGCCGCCGTCGCTCATAGATGGCGGCAACCTTTCCAGCCTTTCCACTCTGGCTTGCCAACTTGCGGCCGGCCGCTAATTCATTCCCACCATAGTACAGCCTCGCTCAGTCTTCCTTCTTCACCGGAGTGGAGAGGATGAAAGTTTTCTTATTTTAATTATGACATCTCCCAGCTTTTTGAGTATTTTTGCAATCACTGGCCACTTAGGACCACGTGAAATATGGCTTCAACGTACGCATCTTCGCAGCAATATGGTTTCTATTTGGCCCAATTGAACCTGGTGGCCCTTAGCTTTTGTCCAGGGGCGGATGCAGGGGGTTTCCCGGGGGAGTCAACGTACCAGATCTTTGAACCCCTCCCCCCCCCCCCCCCCTCTTTCCCAGCCCTGAAATTTAACAGATGCGGAATTCAAAGGGGGAGGGGGGAGACCGTTTGGATTTCCCTCTTTTAATTTACCACTGACTGAGACGCGGAATGGCCGAAGCCAGTTCACAAGGAACGCGGGTGTCCGGCTGACCAGAGTCGCCCTGCATTACCTTGTGTTCATGATTCTGTACGGGTTGGACGACAGCACGGTGAGGACGAGCTGGTCCTCGGATGAGTTCATGATCTTCCGCACGATGTTGATGGGCAGCCCGGACACCTTGGTGCCGTTCACCGCGATCACCACGTCGCCCTCCAGGATCTGGGAGCGCTGCGCTGGACTGCCGCGCTTCACGCTCTGCGGGCAGATTATTGGTATATCAATTAGAGTAAAGCTATACGCACTACGTCGTGCACTTCGGCTGGAAATGGCTATATGCACTACGCGGAGAGCTCATGCCATTTGGGTCACCCTTTTCGAACGGCGCGTGTATCTTCGGGGGGCTCGTTAACACCCCCCCCCCCCCCCCCCCCCTGCGTTCACGCCGCTTCACGGCGACAGTGTGCAGCTGCTAATTACAAAATTTAACCCGTAAACGCCGCTTCGCGGCGACCAGCCGGCAACCCAAGCCCCGTTGTCCGCGATGGCACCTCCGGAAAGAGAGTTCCATACCACTTAGTTCTGCGAAGTTTCGTCGACGGCATTCGTTTTTTTCACTTTTTTTTCCAGTGTTGATCGTAAAAATGAAATGTCGTAAATATTGACAAATGTCTCGACAAAACAAAATGTTTGAGAGAAAAAAAAAAAGTAGGCCCACATTACGGGTCGAACCTGCGTCAGCTAGCGTCAGTCAGAGCCGTATATGGGGAGAGCTTGGTCAGTCTATGATCTCGCCGCCGTAACGCTCTCCTCCCGAGTGAGCCAATCAGCACGCAGCGCAGAGCAAGAGGCATGAGCGCACGCGCGTGAACTCTTCACAACGCTTACACACACACATTCACAACGCTTACACGCGTGAACTCCCGGCTGCTCCCAGCTGAGTGGGGAGGGCCGCCATTTTCGTTTATTCTCCCTGCGGAATGCGTGGGATCGGCATCTAAATCTCGATTATTTCCTTTTATATCGCTGGCTCTGGCAAGAAAATGACATACTGTTGTTGCTCGGTGGGTTAAAAAGCTAATAAATGAAGATTTTTCGGCGTATGGCCACAAACTTTTATTCAGGCGAAAAAGAAGTCGATCCGTAGCAGACGACGCGTAGCCTCAGCAGTGCTCTTCTCTGACCAGTCTCCGACAGCGTTGCGAAAAAATGGCGGTCGTGTCTTCCCTGCTCCCTTCTTTCTCTCTCGCTCCTTCGGCGCTCCCCTCCCTTTCATTTACTTTTCTCCTCTCCGGCGCCTTCGTCGCCACCACCCACTGGTTAAACTCTTCCAATATACGGTTCTGGCGTCGGTATGCAATGCCACCACTTAGAAAACCCGTTGTAACCATTCGTTTTATACGAGTTTCGTGTGGTTCGTATAGCCCTTTCCGGCCGACGGAGTGCGTATAGCTTTACTCTATCATTTAGGAACGCAGAAGACAACTTCAGGCATTAGGGGTATTTTCGTGGATCGTGCACTGCGGATCGCGGGTCATACGGGTGCGGGCTCCGCCCGTGCTCGAATCAAAGGTACGAGCAACCGCCACCCAATGCCACAAACACGAAAGCTGGAGGTCGCTGCTTTGAAGTGTTTTTCCGCAGAACGAACACACGCGCTAAAAATGCGCGTCTCTGTGTGCGCATTTTTGCATATCTGTGTGCATATCTGTGTGCGCGAATTCTGAGCCGTGCTGATGGCGAGCTTCCACAGTTCTTTTGCAACGTGCATTCCGCACCATCGAGCGTGCCGGTCTTAGCAGCCTATTTATAAGAGCTCGTTCTGAGCATGCGCTCGAAACAGCACGTGTATTTCGTTCGTACAAATTTCGTGTATTCGCCTTCAGACCGATCACGTGAGCACAAAGTACTTTTTTTTTTTTTTTTTTTTTTTTTGTATACACCGCGACCTTGTGTTTCACACTGCCAAATATCGAACAAAAAAGCGCGTTTCCTCAAATCGGCTAAACAACTGGCGTATTTTCGAGTATCGTCCTCCTGTGTCGGTCTCAAGCGGTTATATGTGAACCTCATACAGACAAATGTATTGATGATAATAATATTAATAAAAATATTTAACTGGTGACTTGGCAGCATAAGTAAAAGGACGATCACCTTAAAGATATACATCATAAGTAAATGCACCCCCGAACGATCTGCAAGATGCTTTGCAAATACCTTCCGTCGGTTTATAGCTATACGTGATTTGGGAGAGCCTTAGACAAACATCTGATCTTGAAGCTGATTCAAATAACTGTGTTCCTGACACATACATAACTTCTGAAACGTATCGAAGTCTGTTATTACATCATTTTTGAACAATGTTGATCACTCTTTTCGGCATGTTTCTTCGTCTGCTGATCGTAAAGGGATTGCCGCTTAGTGTTTCTGTAAAAGGTAGACTAGAAAGGCTTGTCCTAAAACTTTCGTGACATTTTGATGATGATTACTGCTTATACTCAGTTGCGTCGGCATTATATATACTGTGAAACGTATTTTGTAAACTATACATTACGATATATATGGCGACGAGGTGCCCATTCCATGATTTTATGCTCTGTAATTTATTTCTTAGTTCAAGAGCAGAACTATGATTCAACTTTTAATACTGTAACGCAAAGTTGTACCTGTCACGGGTATTTTAGGCGACCTATAGTCCACTTCGTGACAACCTTTCAATTCTGGTAAAATATATGACTGCAGTAAACAAATGGATGATGAGTCGTATAAACACGACGTTTTGTATGTTAATCTAGACTGTATTTTACTGCTGCATTTAAATTAAATAACATTTTTTTAATTATTGGTAGCTGTAGATAAAAGTGAATTATATGAACGATAACAAAACTCCTTTCACGGCGGAAATAGTGCCTATTGCCTAAACAACGTGGAAAATACATTCTCGATATAGCGGTTCAAACCTGTCTGAATGGGTTCAAACCAGTTTGAATCATTATTTTTGCTCGCGGTACTGAACCGGAACTAAACCGAAAGCCGTTAACCCTAACTCGAACCGAACCGACAAAAAATTAGTTTTGACACCCTTCACAGAACACACAGCTATGATCGACAATAAATAATCTATGATTTGAGTCATTGTAGTTCACGATTGCAAGAAGGGTCAGGAAGTGTATACGTTTAAAGAAGTTTTCCTACGGTATCTTTTTTTTTTTTGTCAAAGCTCGAAACACAGTGCTGTGATTGGACACGAGCATTGTGTCCACGTTCACTTTAACCTGGTCATTTAATCGACCAGTCTTAATAAAGAATTGTTTGTAATGGATGAACGGGAGTTCAGGAGCCCTTTGATATATGTTACGTTGTCACATTCCACAACTCAGGTAGTAACACTGAATCATTTTGAATTTTTACCTTTTATATTTGGGAGTTGCGCTTCCTCTTCCACCTATAGGGCAGCGTGGTATTCGTAACCACAGAGGAGGCGACGCCATCCAGCGGAAAAGACGTGAAGGACATAAACGGAGCTACCGCCTAGCTATCCAAACGTGGAGCACAAACCGGCGCGGCTTGGCGGCCGAAGTAAGAAATGCACGAAAGGCAAATTAACGCACACTGTCGGAGCTTCAAATACTTACCGAGACGATGTAGAAGTTGGCACCGCCTTCTCCCACGACGGATTCGAGGTTGACCCCGAAGCCCCAGTAGCGGCCGAAGCTCTTCTTGCGGAACAGGATCAGGTCGAGCTTCTCCGTTGCCCTTCGACTCCTGGTTGCGGTCATGGCTGCATGACGAAACGGGAGCGTTAAAATTTATTTCGACGAAGGGGCGGATTGTTCTTTGGCTTCTGGGCTCAATTCAAATATTTCGGGCGAGCTAGCCCCTTAGCATTTGAGGCTAGTAAGTCGTAGGAACGTGTAATGACATGGGGTTCAGAGAAACTGTACTGCCGTAACAAACTTTGGGCGGCTGTTTCGGATTGAAATCAGCCTGGTCCTTGCGAAATAACGTATTATGTGCTAAAACTACGGCTGTTGTTTTGCATATGTTTGCATGGTTTTAAATGAACAAGGCTCAATAATTCGGCACACTCTCAGAGTATTGGGAGACATCGGGTCAAATTTGATTTTGATAAAACTTGTTCGGTTTGGAGATTTTGGGAAAATTCGGGTTTAAGCTGGATGCGAGGTACCCGATGTACGCTGCAGGTAAGACAATCACTTCGGCAGTTGCCACAGGGCAATCAATTAATAAGCATCGCGCGTGGTCCGATCACAAAGCAGACAAAAAGGAAAAAAAAAATCCGCGTGTTTTTACTTTCCCACAAACCACGCGGACGCCCCATAACTGATGTATATTCAGAAGAGTGACCAACAACTACTATACGCTGACGAAGCTTGGCCAGTAACTATACAGAAGAGGCGTACCGAATAAGTGCTATAGTATACAGACGAAGCTTAAAGGGACCATGAAATGATTTTAAAAGCGAATTTCATCCACCGCACGTCGTAAAAGGTGTGAAAAGAAACACAAGAACACAAAAATAGGGTGCCAAAAAAAATTATTTGCTATAGAACTTTTAAAAGAAAACTGGACTCTTTTGCGCCTTCTTTCCTTCGAAATGCTCGGCCTTTTCACTACGATGCATCCGCGGAAACGGAGCACGTCAGCCGAATCCACGTCGCCTATTGGGTAAGAGCCTACCTCACCAGCACCGCGATCGTAAACAATAAATAGCCGGCGAATGTTTCCTAAAAGTTTCGTTAAATAATATTCAGATCCACATTTTGTAGCATAATTAGAGATGTGTGGCGAAAATTGCCAAAATTGATAATGCTTAGAGCCAAGCGCCATCTATCGTGTGGTAAACGAAGCAACTACTGCGCGTGCGCCAGCGTTGCCAGATGGTGAAATTCGGCACCAGATTTAGAACATCTGGTGAAATTGGGGGGCTACTGGTGTTGATGTACCGGAACGGCTACACCAGACAATATCTGGTGAAACTGGTGAAAAATCTTGAGAAATGGCTTGTCACTTGCATTAATCAAATTTACCTCGTTTTGTTAGCCTTTTGTTAGTGTATTTATGTAACCTATTTGTTTATGTTCCATATTCTTATGGATATCAGCGATGGATGTGCTTTATGTGTCAAGAGATAGTCCGTGCCAGTGTGGCATTGACTTTGTGTGAAGTTAAGTGTTATGTGACTGGATGTCATGCTTATCAGTTGTTTTTTTCTTGAAGCTTGACTTCAAAACCTGTTATGAACTGAACGTTATCACGGTGTTGTATTTCTACTTCGTTCTTGTGCGTTTCTTTTTCTTACTGCTGAGCAGAGAAGGTATGCTTAATTTAGATTGCGAGTATCTTTAGGTGCAACTTTATATGGTCTTTCTTACGTGTCGATGGCCTTCATTAATTTGAATTTTCCGTCTAAGGACTACCCAGCACAAGCATCTCATAAACATGGTATACCAAAAAGTAACAATGCTGATAATGCGCCACATGTCTGCTTTCTTCCTTTTCTATTGTGCTGCGATGCCTTACATTAGTGAACCACCTGAAAGCTATCCCTTTGCGAGTGCATGTGTAAAAAAGCTGAAGGAATTGGAAATACTTAATAGACGCAATATTTCAGTGCTGGTGAAATCTGGTGAACTTCCGGTCAGAATTTGGTGCCGAAGCATCTTTCCAATCTGGCGACGCTGGCGTGCGCAGTAGGGTAGGGCCGACTTCAGTTACTTGGATCGCGACGACCGACGAACGTTTATTTTTCTACGTGTTCTTCTCGCGCGTGCCGACTTCAAGCAGCAAGAAAACAGTACTTAAAACAGACCACGACGAACAAGAACGCTGGATCCACCAACACCCGAGAAAAGCGACAAGGGCCACGAATCCACCGACTCCGACGAAGCGAGCTGATCAGAATATAGGCCTAGCAGGCACTCCGACTCGGCGCAGCGTTGCTTCGTCGCAAGACCGCCTGCCTACGACCGGCATTTAGTGAACATTGACGGTTCAATGTAAAAGTTATCTGGAAAAAGTGGAAAGGTCATTTCAATACAGAAGACGCCTGACCAATAATTTCTATATACGTAACAAGCCCCAATCGGTCAAAAATGGTATTGACCGACTGGTGACGTCTGTTCTATGAATCTCAGTGTGGTACGAAGACGTGAGATCTCAGCCTCACAGCTCGAGTTTACGAATTGGTCAAAGCGTTTCTTCACTGTTGTCATTGACTTCTTAAATCATTCGGATTGGCTCTCCGAGTGCACTGTGGAAAAGTCGATGCCCGGGCATTTTTCTCAGAGTACAATTTGACATAATGTAGTAGTTATGGGCGCATTATAGCATCACCTCAGACGCACATTGGGTGCAACTCGTCGGCAGCAGGAGCAGGTATAAATACTTACAGCGCGAATAGCCGCTGAAGCCGTAAGCCGACTCCGCGTCCGTAGCCTTCTCGTAGTCGATCTCCGAAGAAGACACGTTGGTCGTGTCCATGAAGGACTCGTTCACCGACAGCGGTTCGCTCGCGTTGTCCATCACCTGCGAGCGCGTATACACAGCAGGGGACATCCAAGTTGGCCATTTGCGGTCGAGAATACGCACGCCGCACTCACCTGTAACTCGAGATGCCTAAAAGTGCGTCACAATGCCTCGCAAAACTTTCCCTATATCAAATGGGCTTTGAAGTTTGGTGGGGTCTCGTGTCCAGTCAACGCGTCGAGCGACGTTTGGTGTTGGGCTCGGGCCCAATAGACCTTTTGCTAAATTACTCAAGCACCAAAGAGCTTGCGTGACCTTGGTGCCCAGTCAGGCGACACGATCGCCTTTTGCGCCAAGGTACCATTTCAAGGAGTATGTACCCCTTGAAAAAAAAAATAAACTGATCGATTGATTAATTACTTACAAGCGATGCGCGTGCTCGCGCCTGCAGCAGTAGCTGTTCTAAAAAAAAAAAGAAAAAAAGAAAAGCCAGAAAAAATGGCACCTCGCACGCACTTCATTCATCGACGACTTATTCTGGCCATTAAAGGAGCTGTGCAACAATTTCAGGGCTTGATGCCTGACACTTCTGCAGTGAACTACAGAAAACAGATTTTGCCTGGACACCCTAGTTTTCATTTAAAAAAGTGAAAAAGATCCAGGTTTTTGCCGCCTTTCAACTCGTACATCGTCTTCCGGGTCACGTGCGCAGTGACGTCACTTGAGTAGGTGCGGGGTTCCGGAAAAGTTCTCTCTACAGCAGGGGTCTCCAAACTTTTTGGCTAAGGGGCGGGATGGAGGCTCTGTCTCTGTCTCGAGGGCCGGAAATATAAATGGGCAGATGTAAATGAGGAAAATTTAAATAAATAATCCTAGATATCTAAGCCTTTGAATATACAATATTTAAAGTTAGAGTAAACATAAAACAAAAAAGATTTCAAGGTGGATGAATGCATTCACTTTGTTATGAAATTTAATCATTTAGCTGCTTATGACATCCCACAATAATTGGAGCCCAGAAAACATACCAGCATAAACCAGAGCGCATAGGAACTTTGGCACGTTCACACAGGGCAGAAGACTAGTGAGAACGATATAAGTTATGCTGACAATATTTAATAGCTACGACACAGCACACCAAGCACAATATACATAGGGACGTAAATTAACTTTAACGTACTTAGTTACCCAGATATGGAGCAGGGGACTAGAAGTGTGGATTCTGCTAATGACAATGTCCAATTACTAATATGACCAGAGGACACGGCTTACGGTAGGCAGTTTTCTCTCGTTTTTTTCTGATAACATCGCGTACGCGGTTGGTGCGCGCCGCGGCGCCGTTTCACACGCGCCTATTTTTTCGCCATTAGCAGCGGGCGTGCTGAAAGTGGGCCGTGGGCCATGCTCCATCGGGAGGATTGCAGCCAGCCACGGGCCGGTCGGAAGACCTCCGCGGGCCGGATTTGGCGCGCGGGCCGGGGTTTGGAGACTCCTACTCTAGAGCCATCAGCGAGCAGCGAGAACTCATCCGCTCGCGACCGCGTGACCACGTGCTGGCGTGGCGCCCCGCGAAATATACGGTGAAAGGAGGAAAGTCTCATCCGGGTCCGGCCATACCCGTCCTTGCCCGTCCGGCGCTGTCCCCCTCCCCCTCCGGCTTCTGGCGGCTGTTCGCGGTTTTGTGAACCTAGGATAGATGGCGCCACTAAAACTCCGTATAATAAAAGTTTTGTCGATGATACCAGGGTTTTGACGCATTTATATATATGTTGGAGCGACAAGATTTATAAAAAAGTTACCTTTCATCGAGCAGGTATTCGCACAACTTGCTATCTTTTCTACAACTACCCAAGTGACGTCACGCCGCTTGTTTCTCATGGCCGCCGCTCGTGGCTGCAGGTCGGGAAATATTCTAATTTTTGCCTCGCTATTACGCAGCGGAATCGCAACATTTCGATGAAAGGGGGTGTGTTTTCTGCCATTTGTGACACGGTGAACAATATCAAAAGCAGAAAATGCCAATTCTTTCAACGTTAAAATCACATGCAGCGGAGCGCCACAGGCATAGCTCTGACCTCGCGCTAAGCGCATGCTGACAGGAGCGTTCACCAGCTTTGTATCGCACCGTCAAAACTGTTTCACGGCAGACAATAAGTAGCTGACGGCACGTGAGCAGCGCTACATCAGCGCTTCGCTGCATGTGAGAATTGGCCTTTACTTCGGATCTTCTGCACAGATAAAACGAGAGCGTGCAGCGCGTGCACCTATACGTTCCCAGCATTCTCCTTGATGCTTGGGTAATTTGACTTAAAATCACTGGATCCTGCAAAAGTAGTGCGCTTATACTATGTCTGGAGTGAAAGACTGTGTAGCATATCTTGCAGAGATTCCCGGTGACGAGAAATGTTTGACCGGCTCAGTGTGCCTGAATGGGCATCACTTAAGCCAGTCTTGTGTGGGAGTTACGGAAACTTCCTTGGCAAGTATGGGGCAAGCAAAGCGGGAAAATGGCGTTGTAAAACCTGTCGTACGCAGGATAAGAGAGGCGGATCGCAAAGTGGAGTGACTTCTTGGCAGAACACGCCGCTGGATGGTCAAACAGTGGTCTCAGCTCAGCTTCAATCTTTTTTTTGGAAAAACTTGATGGCTCTGCCGGCAATGAAGGCAAGCGTAGACGATGATCTATTAACTTTTAAACCTACAGTAGAGGGACCAGAAGCTCACACGCCGGATATGGAAAGCAAATGGTTATCAGTCAAATACAGCTCTGTGCCATAGTGCACGACGGAAAATGAAAGAAGATAAGGGACCTCGAAGTCGAACACGAAGAAACTGCGGGAAACCATGAAAAACCAACCAGAGATGATTCAGCTTTTGCGAGACGAAATCAATAACGGAAAACAGTACAGTCGTCTTTCAAACTCGGAAATTCACGAGCTGCCGACATTACCGGACGAAAATCTCAGACAACGAATAAGCGACTTGGCAGCTAAACTGGGGTTGCCAAACTTCGATGTTAAAGATATTCTCGGAGTGCAGCGACTTTCCGCTAAACTAGGGTTGATTCCAATAGTATTGATTAAATTCATCACGAAGGAAGTAAAAGATTGCTGGCTAGGCGCGCGTGCAGGCTGCGTGAGCTTTCTCTGGCTGCTACTTTCCCAAAACCTTTTTTTAACGAAAACCTTACAAAGCAAAGCCGCAAATTGTTCTGGATGGTCAGGAAAAGGTCAAAAGAAAAACAATGCAAATTCACATGGGTAAAGAACGGAAAGATCTTCGTGAGGAAAAACGTAGATTGTCGCTGTTGCGGATTGACTGAGTTACAGATTTGGACGCGATGTTGTAGGTGCTTCCATGAATTGTTTTCAGTTCTTAAACTGTTCGTTACTTAAAAATAATTTCAAAGAGGCTTCGAATGTTTCGTTCAGTATGTTTCATGTCAATATGAGGCACTAGAAAATATTTGGATTAGTTTATAGTGGTAGTAGGAGACTTAGGCACGATCATAAATGCTTTCATTATAACTGAGATATATATTATTGAGGAAATGACAACTCTTTTTTTTAATTCCTTGTTATGATAGATCAGCAATTACATGAGCATGTGGTAGGGGGTATATGTGTTTATCTAAAAAAACATTTAATACGTGTCAGATGACTAACAATGACGCATGCGGAGGGCATAGGTCTCAAGATAAGCTGCCAAGATTTTTCTTTCGTCCTCGGGAACTTGTTTTTTAAAGAACTTGATAAATCGCTATCAGAACTGAGCCAGATAAGTCAACTATGGTTGGTAGGCAACTTTAATATAAATATGAATTCGTCACGCCATATAGTATGCGACTATCTTAATTTAATGGCAACCCACGGTATCGAAAATGTAATACAGGTACCAACTCGGGAAGAATTGTTGGGCGACAAAATGGTTTCGTCGTGTATTAACCATATTAATATAATAATTTTTGCATTACCATAGAAGCCGCAGCAATATCCGCAAAATTAGCGAATCATTCCTTTCTAGCTCGCCAGATAAGGTCTAAACCCAAAGTGAACGACACAAATAAATCGATGAAAGAAATAACAATAACTGATCAAGCGCAGTTCGATAAAATAAGAAATAACTATGACTGGAATGTTTTTTTTAATCCGGTAGAAGCACCAAAGTTGTACGATACGTTAATGGGCTTATTCTTGAAATAGACCCCTTTCGAAATTCACGTGCCGATTATTAAAAGGCCGGAACCACTGCACAATGGCGGATCAATTGCATCGAGGAACGTGCAAGCCATTCCATAAGATAACAAACGTCGGAGCGCGGCCAACACTACGAGTTGACGAGCCAATTAAGCAGCGTCGAAAGTGCAGCGTCACTGCGCTCATCAACTTTTTCGGTGGGTGTGTTTTTTCCAGTGTGCCGTGACGTTCATGTTTTAGTCCGCCATTGTGCAGGGGTTCCAAAGCCGCCAGCTGAGGGCAGTATTTCAAAAAGAGTCGATTTTCATCATTGTGCACAAAAAATGTGATAAAAAAAAGTCAACCTGACCAAGAATGGCTTACGCCTGAAGTTTTATCTGCAATAAATTATAAAAACTTCCTCCGAAAATGTTGCGAACTTTCGCCAAGAAATTTATGACTGAAAAGAAGTTCAAAATTGCAAGAAATAAAGCATGCACCTTACTAATTCGTTTCTCTAAGCGTAGATATTTCAAAAATGAATTTGTAAAACAATCGTTTTGGTACTGCGAAAACTTGGGAGTTAATCAATCGGGTTCAAAGGGGAACATAACGTCTTTCAATTGACGATATAATCGATAAGTCAATTGCGCCTGCTACGCAAAAAAAAAAAAAAAAAAAAAAAAAAAAAAAACGATTGATGACTGCAACACTTTTTTTGCTCGTATCTCCGGGGCAGATCAGGATTGACGACGCATCGGACGCACTTATACTTTTACACTGCGTGTGCCATAGGGAAACTTCAGCTGCAGAATTTACAATAATATGAGTTGTCATTTTTTGCCTTTATTTTGTTATCATGTATCAAATTTATTGAGGTTTATTTCCTTTTTGAATAATTCTCTCGTCAAAATTTTTGAGTTTTTCTGAAGCATGGTCTTGAAGGTAAATAGACACACCCAATATTGAATTATACTTTGACTTCTTCACATGCCGAGCTAAGTACACAAGCCCTTGAGGCTTATACAGGCTCGTTAGTTTTACTTTGGGCATTGGTACTTGTGAAAATGAAGCTATGTTTTATGTTCTATGAAGCGCCATTGCCTTCCCTGCCCGATAGCCGAACACAAACAAATACTAACATGCAGACGACAAACCTTGCAAGATGATTGGCTGATTGATATTAGTTGCCATGGAAATCGCCATTTCGGTCCATTCAAATCTTCACTAGGGCCGTTCTGAACCGGTCGCGCCAAGATCTCTATGGAGTACCCTCGTACTGAAAGCGTTCCTCTCCAATATAAACGTCATGCGAACAACTTATCAATCATACTTATCTCTCCAGATCTCTTACAAAGATATTGTTGTTTTCGCATAATTCAAGACAGGAAAAGTATTTCTGGATGCGTCCATGGCACCGACGCCGCGCTTGTGATGGCGCTACGATGTGCGCGTATTTCGCCCGTGCGCGGGTAGCAAAATCTCGGCATGCAAGAAAAGTCTTCATAAAGATATTTATCTTCATTAAATTTACACGGGCTCACCAAAACTGAAGAGGTCGAGGAGAAACGGTTCATTCCATGAACCAAAATGGCGGCCATACGAGGAGCTTGGCGACGCTTTCCCAGGATCCAGTCAGTGACTTTAATTTGGCTTACCATCTATTGTCGAGTTTGCGCCATCCGAGTGTCACAACGTTAGGTGGAGGGAGAGAAGGATCTTCACAGGGTTTGTTTATTCCATATGGTGTCACGGGTTCTCACAACAATGGTTGTCAGTACTCGAAAGAAACGCGAAGCATGAATGTTATCAAGGGTCTTTAATCTCGTCGCCCTATCAAGCGTGGAAGACGCATTGCCTAGCAGTCACGCAATGCAAAGTCTCACGAGCAGTATCATCTCGCATTTGTAGATGATGTATCGCTGACAGGACACCCCCGCATGTTCGACATGTCCTATACGTAGCTTTTCCCCTGTTTTTTTTTTTTTTTTTTTCGACCAAGTTTCCCAGCTTTTACCACAGTCTCGGGTATTCTACATCATGATCATTGTTACGTCGCATTAGCGGTTTTTGTTGTGGCATTGCTGTCGAGCGCATTCCTTTTGCAGCACACGCTCCGCACCACCCAATTACTCCTTCTCGACACGAAGACGTAGTAATGACCACCAAATCGGAGCGATGACGTCAGCAGCAAGTAGCGTATTTTAACGACAATTGTCCTTAGGCTAGTTGGCGCATGATTCTTAGAAACTTGTGTGCGCAAATTCAAAGACGGACGCGAAGAAGGGGACACGGACAAGCGTTTCTTAGTGTCTCCTTCTTGTGTCCGTCTCTGTCTGCGCTTAGAAGCTTCCCGAGCAAGCCATGTACAAAATGTAGATTCGGCAAGAGCGCATCCCTAGAGCGACGCACCATGGAGACGAGGCGCTTGTAACGCATCGAGATGTACGTGAAGAGCGGCCGATGCAGGGAGCGGTCGATGTCCGTGAGCTCCTCCATCTTGAGCAGTTTTCGTTTCTTCGTGCTGGTGGTCGCGGCAGGAGCTGCAACATGGAGCGATACTTGAACCCTGCGTTTCTCGGACTGTCAGCGACTACTGATCTTCAATCGCTGTAAGAAGTGCGAAAAGCAGCCAGCTTTCCAGACACCCTTCTTCGTTGGGTGCATGTTGTTGCCGTGCGATGAGAGGCAAGGTGCTCTATTGGTGTACCTAGTTTCACCTTAGCGCGGACTCGAACAAACGCTAAAAAGTGCGAGCGAGATGTGGCAGGCGTTCCCGCTGCACGGAGGATTGAGCAGCGCGAAACGCGTCCATCCGTGGCTGCAGTCCGCGACGGAGTATCATGAGTAGCGCCCAGCTTCTCGCTATACGGTGCGAAACTGAGGGAGGGGAGGAGACGAAAGGAGACGTCAGAACGCCGAGTTCTGATTAGAATGATTAGTGGGTAGACCTAAAGCTAGCTGCCTCTGTCTCCACTGGACTCGTCTAACGCGTTATAGCGCGAAAAGCCGGCATCTGGCGTTCGGATTTCGCATTCAAATGCGTTTGAAGAGGGCGGTGGAGGCAAAGTCAGCTAGCTTCATTCTCGGCGTCAACTATTTTGTGCTAAGTCACCAAGGTTAGCGTAGCTTCCACAGTACACCAACTCTGTCAAAGCCAGTTGCGCGAGCGTGTGCGAATGAGACGCAAGCTAGAGCAAAGTATACTTTCACTGCAGCGCGGGACTGCAGCGCTGTGAACGTTACGCTGACCTTGGCAATGTGACTTGAAATAGTTGACGCCGAGTGTAGGTCTACCCACGAATCATTTCAATCAGAACTCGGCATTCTGACGCCCCCGCGCTATGTCGTCTTCTTCTCTCCCCCAGTTTCTCGGCGCGCACGGTTGGAATGATCAGTGGGTAAACGCAAAAGCAGGAACGTCGTTTGATTATCGCGCAGTGTCTCGCGTTCGAACGCGTTCCAGCGGCCATAGCTGTGTGCGCGACTGCTGGGCGCGTGTTGCCGGCCAGCTTCCACAGTTATTTTGCCGCATGCATCCAGCACCATCAAGATTGCCTGCCTTAGCAGCCTATTACGCTCTCATTTTGTAACTATGCGTGCTTCTACAACATAGCTATAGACCTTTCCAATGGTTACAAATCCACAGCTCAGCGTGCGCTCTCCACAGCTCAGCACGCGCGTGTGCGTCGCTTCGGAAAGCGAGCAAATCACGCGCGATACGTACGAACACTGAAAATGAAACCGGCCAGCAGCCCTTTTCTGGAAAGGTCTATAGACGTGACTACAACGCTGGATATTCCGACTTGCCGCGGTACCGCCATCGATTAAAGAAAGCTGAAGAAGTTCTTTAACCAACAACAACAGTTAGAGCTGAATGTTTGAGTAAATATACCCCTGGTGAATCTTAATGTCACGTTCGTTTGCTTTGAAAATCTAAATAAACCCTAACAAAACACGAAAGACCTTCGACCAGTCATTACGTCATACCAAGAACTTTCGGGCGCCAAGCGCGTGTCGCTCGAGTTGGGAGCGCGTGCAACTGCAAGCTTTCCAAGTATATTCCCCCGCACTGACCCTAGTTGTGACGTACTTTTCTGTCCTTTTTTGATAATAACAAGATTGCGCGTGCCTAGCTTTGGTAGGCGCTGAAGATGCGCAAAAGGGGAGATTCCGAAAACTTTGTATATGAAGTCACGCTCCGCGAAGGAGGGGCTTCGGCGGTACCTTAAAAATAATTATTTGAACCTACGTAAAAAAAAAAAAAAAAAAAAAAAAAAAAAAACTTATATATTTGTGGTTTTGGAGGCAAACGAAGACGAATTAAGTGTTTTTTCCTCAAATACAGAAACGCTTCAGTTTTACATTAACCTTGCTGCGAGCACTTCAACCGGGTGCAGGAGACGTGTCACAATTTTTGGCTAATGTCGTATATCACAGGTAAACACGCGTGTTCCTATTGGCCTACAGTTAATGCTTACGATGCGCCACCGTGCCCCGTTTCTGATCGCGTTCCTGTTGGTCTATATATAGTTCTAAAAAAAAAAATCATAACATTTTGTAACGTTCGTATGGTTGCTCGGGCAATGCTCCGCCCCTTACTCGACACATTTACGGCGATGCTCGGCAATTTTTTGGTTTGTTTCAAGTTTATCCTTTTTTGTACGTCCCTGATGGTACTTGTATTCTCGATGAAATTTCTCGAGCACTTTAGCCGTGGCTCATGCTTCATTGCTTCCTAACCTGCGCGTGCGTCGGTCTTCCCCGCTTTGCACCAGCGTGCTAGGAGCAGCCACTAACGCGGCAAAGGAGAGCAATTTGGTGAGCTCAATAGGTTCGCAAACATTGCTCACTCTTCGCATAATTTTACCGTTCATGGGAAGTAACGGTTCATCGCGAGAAAAATGACACTCTAGCTACACGTGTCTGCCACATCGGCAAGCGGGGAAAGCCCGTACAAAGGGCGCCGACGCTTACAATGGCGACTGCCCGAGGCCCTTTTGTGGAGCGGTGTAGAAGTGGATACTCTTGCGTTGCATTGTTAGAAGTCAACCGCATATCTCAAAATGTCGGCCCATATTTGAATAAGCAGGGTAGTTATCTACGGCCGTGAACGTTATTGGGAAACAAATATAAGTGTGAGACTTTCTTCGCTCTCACTTATAGCCTTCACAAGAGCGCTACCTGTTGTTACGCTTTCTAAGATGATTTTTGTTTTACCGCCGTTTTTGAAAAAAAAAAAAAAAAGCGTAAGCAGGGTTTTTGTAAATGATCACAAGTAGTCTGGTAGTGGGGTAGGAAAATAACGCCTCTAAAAGTGTTTCTCACAAAGTATAGCATATATATTAATAATATTACGAAATAGTGCTACATTATTCACAAACATTTAGGTATTTCTGAATAAAGTCTTCACTATTATCCACGTTTTTGTTTTTCGATCGATCAGTAAGGTATCAAATTCTGGTTTCTTAACAGTGTTGATAATGACTGCGGAGATTGTTATGTATTACACTCACAGTTCGCAGTCCTTAAAAAAATGGCATATCCTGACTGGGTCATTTAGCAGTCTAAGCAACTTGGTCACAATATGCGGAGTCGAAGTCAATAACGCGACTAAAGAGGAATCAAATATCTTACTCAGAGATGACAGAAGCAACTTCACCCAACACAAATAACAATATACTAATGATGGTGGCTTTATAGCTATATGTATATAAAAAGAAGAGTGTGGTTGAGGAGTGTAAAATATTAATATCTGTTAATGCCATTAACGAATACGCTATACACCCAATGATTCAAAAGTTTAGAGGAATTACTTTTGTATACTGCCTCTTATACCTGAAGACTGCACTATAGAGTCAGTCTAAAATGCAGGTTCCGTTTGCTCGCTTTTACTCGTGTACGGAATTGTGTTTTCCACAACAGCGTTATCGAGAGACCCAACGACGCTTATTCACGCTCTACGATACCGTCCGCTAACCCTTAAACACAAACGCAATATCGGCGACCAGCGTACATAGGTTGAAGGGACTGTTTTCTCCGATTGCGGCGTTAGTTGTCGGGTCTGGCGGTGGCGACGCCTGCATCAGTTCGTAGATAGCCGGGATGTTGCACAGGTTGCCGGTGCTGTGGAGCCGAGTCCAGTCGAAGTCGTCGAAAAACGGGTGCGTCTGCGATTAAAGCCGTTTTACAGAATGTCAGGTCTGTACGGAGAATTCGTTTTATGAACTTTTGTCAAGCGCTGTCTTCGCAAACATGCTATAAACTACCGTAGAAAAAAAAAAGGAAAAAAAAAAGACACAGAATGATTGTTGTGGAATGGTGTCCAGTGATAAGACGCGTTTAACTGCTCGTATGTAGCCGAAGCGTCGCCACTTATCTAGGCTGTATTAACAACTTAGAAGCATTCGAAAGCAAAATTTTCTCGCAATTATATCTTCGCCCGACACAAATTTCTGATATGTCACGTGAGTGTTTCCAAACACCTCTTAAATAACAAAATCCCGTGCTGAATGTTCTTTTTTTTTTTTTGACGTCACATAAAAAAAGGTCAACGTGGTGCACATAATGTTCAAGAGTTCGGCGTTAGCTTTCGGCTGGTATTCGCGTTCTTGCTGATTGGACACGAGTCTCAGTTTAACGATGACGCAGCACTCGGGCCCAATCCGTGCGCAGCATTGTTCTTGTTTTCTTGACGCCGCGAATTCGGTGCTAGGGCTTTGTCATCTTTGAAGTTTTGGATAGTCACACACAACCGCCGAGTCTTCCAGAAACTATAAGAGAGATATGTCACACTGCTTCGTGACGCTCTGACGGAATTCATCACGTGCTCAGCAGTCCAGCACACAGCTATGGCCGTCATCGAATACTCCCGATAGCATCGGCTGCGTTGAGACTTAGAAGGGTCATGAAACGATTTTTCTACTTTCGCTAAATACTACTTACAGTCACTCCCTAACGTTAATAACTGAATAAACTTGACTTAGTGTTTCTTTCTAGGCAAAGGCAGTGGCCAAAAAAAAAAATTTGAGTAATACTATGAGCGTCGTTCATCCCTTCAAATCGGAGCCAGAACAAGCGGCCACGTGGCCTGGTGCCTATCCTATTGTCACGGGTGGTGACCAAAAGAAAACAGGAAATAAACAAGAAGAAATAAACGTTTAATGTGGCGAACTTGTGCCAAAAATAAAAGAGGGAAACAGAAGAAAGCAGAGCGTCGCGGGCGTCGAAGTCGGCGTGGCAGCAGAGTCGAACGCTGGGGCGAGACTGACTCGACAAGGTCGCGGGCGGCCTCTTATCTAGAGTGCGTCGCTATCTCGAAGATTCGGCGAAAGCGGCTCGAGCGTCGCGTGATCGGGCGAGAATGGACACGCACTTTCTAGAAAACAAAAGCAGGAATAAATGATAGAAGTTACGTGCGGTACATGAATAAACGAGAACTTTCTGGAGGACCGTGACCGAGCGTTGCTTTCTCAGCCTTGCGCGCGGCATTACTCCCCCCTTTAAAAGTGCATCGCCCCGATGCAGTGTAAAACAAATCAAAATAAAAAAGAACGATAAACTAAAGAGTCTTTTGGAGCACAAAAGGTCCACAGTCCTATCGAGCGTAGTACGGCTTCAGGCGCACGACGTGGACGACCTCAGGTCGTGGTGGGCGGCGTGACGATGTTCGTGTTCCGTCGGGCATCACCTCGTAGTTCAGTTCGCCGAGGCGACGAAGTACCTTGTATGGTCCAAAGTACCGTTTCAGCAGTTTCTCACTGAGGCCGCGGCGACGGATGGGCGTCCATACCCACACCCTATCTCCGGGCTGGAAGTGGACGTCCCTGCGACGAAGGTTGTAGCGGCCGGCGTCGACGCGTTGCTGGTCTTGAATCAGGAGTCGGGCGAGCTGGCGAACTTCTTCGGCGCGTTGAGCAACCGCCTGGGCGTCGTCGCTCTCGTTGTCAGATGGCTCATGGGGCAGCATGGCGTCCAACATGGTCGTTACCTTCCGACCATGTACCAGCTGGAAAGGGGTGAATCCAGTGGTCTCTTGAACCGCCGTATTGTAGGCGAACGTGACGTAGGGCAGCACCTCGTCCCACGTCTTGTGCTCTACGTCGACGTACATAGAGATCATATCGGCGATTGTCTTGTTGAGTCGCTCCGTCAGCCCGTTGGTCTGCGGGTGGTACGCTGTGGTGCGGCGATGGCTGGTGTGGCTGAGACGAAGGACTTCTTGCGTCAGCTGGGCCATGAATGATGATCCACGGTCTGAGATCAGGACTTCGGGAGCGCCGTGCCGGAGGACGATGGATTCAATGAAAAACTTGGCAACTTCCACAGCAGTTCCGGAAGGAAGGGCTTTCGTTTCGGCATACCGCGTGAGATAATCTGTGGCGACGATGATCCAGCGATTTCCCGACGTCGACGGCGGAAAAGGGCCAAGTAGATCCATTCCGATCTGCTGGAAGGGTGCTGTTGGCGGAGGAATTGACTGCAAGAGTCCGGCCGGCCTCGTCGGAGGTTTCTTTCGTCGCTGGCATTCATGACATGATCGCGTGTACAGGTGGACGGTTTTGGGGAGCTTGGGCCAGTAATGCCGCCAACGCTGATCATAGCCACGCGCTGGTGTTGGCAAAGTAGAAAACGCGTGCTGAGCTCCAGGAATTGTTAGCGTTAAGCGGGTTTCACATGCAGCGATTTTGGCCCTAAAGCGGCGCGATTTCTGCCGTCGCGGCGCTCGTGCCGCTGAATTGCTGGTGCTGGCTAGAGCGCCGCGACGGCAGAAATCGCGCCGCTCTAGGGCCAAAACCGCTGCATGTGAACTAGGCTTTAAGCTATTCTCATCACCGTAGTGGTTGGACACGAGCCACTACCCGAGTGTCCGCCGAGGCATTGATTTTTACGCGCCAAAGTCGAGTACTCATGCAGTTGTCATGTCCAATCCTTGAACCCTGCTGGACTGTTGTCAAGCGGGTGGTTTCGATTCGCGATTACATCTTGAAACTTTACGAAGGCGAGACTAAAAAAATAATCCCCTTTTATCCTCGCACTTTCACCGCGACAAATAAGCTTCTGAATCAGTGGCGGTCTGTGCGAGTATATGCTTAGGCCAGACTAGAACCAGTACGCCTCTGCAAAGTCATGAGAATTCCAACCCGATGACGTTTCATGACCCCTTTAAGGCGAAAGGAAGTATAGAAACTATTTACTGGCGGCCCTAGCTGTGTGCGCGACTGGTGAGCGCGTGCTGCCGGCGAACTTCCACATTTCTTTTGCAACGCTCATTCCGCACCATCAAGATTGCAGTTTATTCAAGTAAGCTCGTTCTGAACATTCGCTCTAAACATCGCCCTCAAGTATGGCGTCCGGTGAATGCCCCTATTAGCGGCGAGATGTTTTGTTGGCGCCCTCGTAGGGTTACCTTTCGTGACGTCAATACCTTGCGAACAACAACTTCGATGGTGCTTCTAATGAACATGGTGGAAGCTCGAAATCATAGAGCTCTGAAACCAACATTGCCAACACCGTCAAAATTGAAGTTCTTACATAACTCTTATTTCCGTCGATGAGAAATCTTTTGCCGACGACATAGTCGGTATTCAGCCAATCGTGGAAGGCCGACCACAGCGGCGCTTTTGATCGCGCACGACGTCAATAGCATATGCCGTCAAATGCGAGCTTAAGATATTCACTGCCTCGTTTCAGTTTCTCAGAAAGTTCAAGCACGAGAGCTGGTCCACGGCCGCCATACTCACTTCACCGCTAAGCTGACAGAGGGGGTAGAATCTCTGCTGAAGAGAAAACTAGCGCGTTCTGGCGCGGAAAATTTGAAACAGAGAAACAGGGGTAGGAACGGGGGGATTCAATGTAAACCGTTGAAGTGGCGTAGAGCAGTACCCTGAGGTCCCGGTACTGCTTGGAGCCCAGGCGCTCGACGGGGTTCTTCTTGAGGAGCAGGTAGACCATGTCCTTGGCCTGCGAGCTGGCCGAGTGAGGGTGCTCGCCCACCTTGGGCCACTTGAGGGGCGACGCGATGATGCGGTCGCGGAGCATCTTCTTGGTCTTGCCGCGGAAGGGCACCCGACCAGTCATCAGCTTGTAGAAGACGACGCCCGTGGACCACCAGTCACACGCACGGCCTGAAAGTGCCCTTACGCAATCACATTCAGCTCAGTGAGCGTTTACTGCTGCCAATACTGAATCTCAGTAGGTCTTTTTAGGAGCTGGTTGGGCGCAAAATTTTCACATACGTCCCTCCCCCATTAAAAAAAAAAAAAAAAAAAAAAAAAAAAAGAAAGAAAGAAAAGGAGATATTTGTTAAGTTCATGTAAACTTACTTAATTAGGTAACTAATTAAGAAATGTAATATTTTTTCTAATGATCCCCTTGGTGTCCAAATTTGCCTCAAGGCGTAAAAAGAGCCCTGAAAGTTATTTTCTCTCAAATGTGGACCGAAAAAATAAAGAAACAACTTGTGTAAAATACAATTGGAAGATTTGACTTTCATTTTCTCGTAGCTACTTATTCTTTTCTGACACGTGGAGTACCTTTTACATATTGCGAGAGTATCTTTAAAGCTTTCGTTGTGGGGTTTTAGTGTAATGCCACCTGGAGACGGCTGTTGTGGTTGACGAGCAAACGCATTGATTTTAACTGCAGTAACGAGAGCTCACCATAAGGTCTTCTTTTGAGTATCTCGGGAGCCATGTACGGGATGGTCCCAGCTGATTCCCCGTCTCGGAACTCGAAAGGTGTCCTCCGGAAATATCCCTTCATCACGCGTTTTGTGACTGTACGCAGAAAAGATAAACAGGGGTGAGAGATGCATATACACACTTGAAAAATACTGACACAGACGACAAAGAAATACCGTCGCGCACACTCACAGTGACCGAGGCAGACTTTGTTTGTATCGAAGTCAATTAACTTCACGCGTCCTCCTGGAAGCATAAGCATGCTGGAAGAAATGAAGTCAGTATATTAGCGTCATGGATCTAGGAAGCTTCTGGAGGCGATATCAGGCCGCCAGAGGGGAAGCCAGAAGTGTGGAGGCCAAAACCAAGAGATGACCAAAAAAAAGAGAGACGCCGTTGAACGAAAAGTAGTGGAGCCGATTTGGCGCCAAAATATATTTTGGTCACCTCGGGGCTTGGTTTTGGTCATCGTTGGGGGCATGTGCCTCCACACTTCTGGCTTCATCTCTGGAGGCATCATGTCGCCTCCAGAAGCTTCCTACTTTCGTGATTCACGTTCTGTTTCGGGGTTGCAGGCGCTGGTTCATATTATACATAGAGGCTAACTCGTGCTTCTTCTGTAGTCAATACAAAGTTTAGAAAGGCAGGGTATGGCTTATTGTGTTCACGCTTCTTGCTTCGTGATTCAATTTTCGGCGTCCTTAGTGACTAAGGCCGCATGCTCATTGTCTGTGGAAGGATAGAAAAATGTCTGAAACTCTCCGCGCCCTGCGTCTCTTGAGTGGTCAGTGATTACAACGGCCGCGCCATTAAAAACGTCTCTCTCAACTTATGTAGAGCAGCAGATTGCGAGCACTACTAGGCTCCCTGAACCGTATTTAAATGTGACTGAGGTCAGACTCAGCTGTGGTTAAAGGGCCTCTGACGCGCCAAAAAATTTTTCTTTCATGCTAGGCGTTGAAATGGCATGTCAGGATATTACAAAAAAATTGTTCCCCTATAGAGGTGCGTAGTGTTTTTTTATAAAAAATAGAAATACGAGGCCCAATTCAAAGTTCCCGCCAGTGCACTGTGACGTAACAGTGCACCGCAAGGTGTCGGGGCTAGCTCCTTCAGTGGCTCATATGTATGCTGCAGTGCCATTTCAAGGCAATTACTTATCCTGCTGCGTGTCTGAAGCGCTCACTTGGACACCTTGATGTCTCTGTGGAGGAATCCCTTGAGGTGGAGGTGCTCGACAGCCAAGATGAGCTGGGCCATGACCACACGGACTTGGTCGATGGGGAGGAACGTGGCCCTCTCCACCACTCGCATCAGATCGACGCCGCAAATGTATTCCATCACGGTGACGTACGCATCCTGCATCCACAGGGACCAATTACGACGACTCACTCTTCTCTCACAGCAAGGCCCGGAGTATTGGGCAGAAACGTGCACTCTCTGAGGGGGAATTGCGAGGCTCAGTCGTGAGAATACGTAACAAAACTTTCCATGGTCACTAACGCAGGGCGTGGCTTATGTTCACGCGTCTTGCTTCGAGATTCATTCTTTTGCATTCATATAGGCTAATGTCGCAATTTCATTGGCTGCGGGGCTGTAAGATGCTCACGCCCTGAGTAGCTAAAGCTGTTGGCGACCGTAATATTTAAAGTTCCCGGTTTGTTTTAAAGTATGAAATGCCTTTTAACGATACCCCACCATTCCAAAATTATGTCCGTGCGTCCGTCTGACCGTCCGTGCATTTTCCGCTAAACTGAGCGGAAAAAGTGGCGTCAGGTGACCTAGACGCCTTGGTGAAATGGACCGCAGGTGACCTATATGTTAACTCAGTTGCCCCGCTAAATTTAGGTTAAAAATTCACGTCTTGTTGCCAAAGCATCAATTTAGTTCATGCATCATGAGACTTAGAAGGTCGCTGCCAATTTTTTGGTCAACCTGGTATGAGTTACATGTAGGTACATATGATGCATATATATCTTAATATAAAAGAAGAAACTGGAGCGAATGGATTTGAAACTAAAAGCTAATCAAGTTCATGTATACTCTGAATTTTGGGTATAACTATAGGGTGTTTTTTTAGATAAGTTTGCATGACCATATCCAGCGGCCATTTTTAATTTTGACAAAAAAAATTATATAAGGTGTCTGAAGTCACCAGGCTCGATCTAAAATGGACCGTAAAAATCGACGCCTGCACAAAGCAACCTAAACTTTTTGTCGAAGGTGTATTTCACACGTCCGTTGTTTTCTTGTAAAATTACAAAGCGTAGCTTCCTTTCTGTAAAAAAATAGGGCCAAAAAATTTGCCAGGGTCAACGGCTGGCGGCGACGCATACGACCGAGTCGAGTGGCGGGACGCGTCTGGCTCACGAATTTCCGTGACGTGCATATCTCATTGAAAGCATGTGGGGCCACCTGCCTTCATAAAGGTATGCACGTCATTTGACCGGACACTGGGGACTCGAGTCCCGAATACGAAGAAAAATGTTTTGTAACCAGTCCTGATAAGGGCCTGACATAGGCAGAAACGTCGAACAATATGTCAGAAAACTCCACCGAAAGCTTCGAACTACGTTTACTCTCTTATACCCTTTTCGTCGTCCTACAAAACAGTATTTTTATTTATATATATATAGCGGTCACTGAGGATTGTGCAAAGTTGGCATTCCGGGCACCTTACCCCAAAACAACTGCTGCGTCTGCGGTTCTAAAAAAGTTTTTTTTTTTGACAAAATATGCATAGGTGGGATTGATCACGAGTATTCATTACAGAGTAACGACGTTGTTAGTTTGCGAAGAGAAGTTGCAAACCCGGCAGATTGCGCAATAATTTTGCAATTTGATTATTCGATTTCTTCACATCTTTAAACGCTAGGACTTTCACACTTTGCCAACATGTTGCCCTATTGTTTGTTAATCTTCGCGCTAAATATTGTTGTACGGATTAACGGGACAGATTTACGAGAAATGATCAAGTGGGGCTAAGAAATAAGATTATTTTGAAAATCAAAAACGTTCAGCCTTTCCATTCTTGTGAAGAAGGAAGACCAGCGGAGCTGTACTCGATACACTGCCGCAACGCGCACGCGCCCGTTTCCCGCTTCTTCTCGTCCGACACGTCGCCGATCGTGGATACGTCTCCGGCCCCTCAACGACCCAGAGTCGGTCGCACACGGCGCACTTGACGCCAAACGGGTAATCCACGAACTCCCTCCGGAACCTTGCCGTCGCGCCTGGGAACTGTTCAGCCAGCGTGGTGTGTAGTCGTCGCCGGACCTCGCGCTTGCGCTTGGCCTCCGTGGCACGATCGTCGTCCGTGACGCTGTCCCGCCGGCGCCCTTTACATCGCTGGTTCTGTTCTGGGCGGAGGCTTTCCAAACGAGCGATGTGCTCTTCTTTAGCAAGGGAATATGAAGCACTCGACGCAGTGGAAGTCAAGGCGACAACGGCTTTGCGGTGGTTATGGAGCCATTCGCGCTGCTGCGTACGTCGCCGCTTCTTCCGCAGCCAGTCCTCTTTCCCCCAAAGGGCACGCGGCTGACCCATCCTGAGTCCAAACCGTGGTCCAAACCGAAACTGATAAGAGCGTAGAAAACAACGCGCAAAACAGATGAGGACGAAGAAACACACGTGACGAGCGCTGCGCTCGTTACGTGTGCTTCTTCTTTGTCGTCGTCTGTTTTTCGCGCTGTTTCCTGCGATGAATTCCCATCAACGCGCCGCCCAACTATCCATTCTTCTGTGATAGCGGGAAAAGTTGGCGCCATCTACCAGTGACGGCGGCAACCATACTGGTTGTGTGCTTGCAGCCATCGCTTGTTGATGGCGGTAGCTGTCCAGAGGCGTTTTTGGCGACACGTGTTTTGTACCGGACACGATGCTCGGGAACCTAGCCCTTAACAGCTCCGATGTAATAAGAAAAAGTCATTCTTCGATTTTTTAATCTCTTTCAATTTAAGCTCAAGGATATATACTTACAGAATATATAAAAAAAAAAAACAAAAAAAAACGTGTTGCATTATTTTTGTATTTTGATGTTATGACGCGAGAAATCTGACGAAATTGAGGGCACAACAGTGCCGTACATACCTATAGTTGACGAGGTCGTTATTTTTACAAAACATAAAAATGCTCGAGGGTGGTCAGGGAGAAACAAATTGACAGCACAGCGGCGGACGGTGTTTTTAAAGTGAGAATTCTTAGTGGGTTTTTGTACTAGAGCCGCAGAACTTGCGCATAGGCGGATGCGATCGAGGGACACTATCCTATCGCATGGTTCGCGGGGTCTGTTTTCAATAGCCGGCGTGTAGCGTGCTACTAGCGTCCCTGCGTACGCCACTTAAACTAAGTGTGGTGGCTTGCTACGACCCCACCTGCACATTGGACCACTGACCCGAGGAATGACCGCTGCCTACCGGGGGTATCCGACGCCATCTGAGAGCATCAGCTGCGCGGCATTACCGCTTCAGCATCGTCGAAGAGAAGAAGGGTACGCGACGGGAAAGACGCTAGATTTTCCCGGAGGTAGATTTGTAACCAAAAACACTTATCAACTTAAAAAACTATATTAAAAAAAAAAAAAAACCCGAGCTTGCAGCGCCTTCACAAATAAATATAGCCGCCGCCAGAGTGGGCCGCAAAACGCCAAGAAAAAAAAAAAAATAAAGAAAGAAAGAAAGAAAAGAGCAAACTGCTTTTTGAAGGTGATTAGAGACACTAGAGTCAACGTTCGCCTTCATTGCTTTTTCTCGACCATCCGGCGACTCATGTTTCAGCCGGTCTTTGGAGTCCAGTATATCCATACCTTGGTTGCAAAGCACGCGTAGTACTTGACGAGAAAAGGCGATCGTACGACGGACGCCACCACTTTGTCGATGGCAGCCTGTTTAGGACGGCTGAAGCGATCCGCAGCTATCACTTTCACGGTGCACACCAGATTGGCCGGTTTGTAGCGCGCCTTGTAGACAGCCCTGCCGAGAAATGATATACTGTGTGTCGTTAAGGAGCTGTAGCAAACCATATACTTCGTTCCGATATACACCGCGTTCCATTGCTTATCCCCCTGCCAAAAAAAGAAAAAAAATGTCACATCAGGTGTGTGGACGTATGCGTCTCATATTATGAAGAGGAAATCCACTGCATATGCTCAGACGCGTTTCATAGCCCAGGAGACAATAATGGCAGCGCACATAAGGCCAATTCGGACACGCAGCCCGTAACATGCGGTTGTACTCAGTTATATTTCTTACCCAAAGCCTCCAGCACCCAGAAGTTTTATAGGCTCAAGTTCCGTTATCCTGGGTATGAAATCTGTGAAAGGTTGCTGATCGCCAATGAACATCTGCGGAAAATAACGAAACGTTTGGTATGATGGATCAGGACTGCGTTTCAACAAAAAACGCTAACAGAAAACCAATCCGTTTACTCTTGATGAATCTTCCAGTGATTTCTAAAACAATATTACATTGAATGAATAAGTACTGTATCTTAACGGAACGGCAGTAATCAAAAGAACATCTTTCATTAGAGTAAATTGCAATGATGCCTGGCTTTTTTATTTACCGAAACACTAACAACGCGATAGTTGTAATAAAAAGAAAAGCAAGGACGCGGCTACACTTCGCGACACTGTTTGCGCGAACCCCACGTCGGTTTTTACTTTTTCTTTCATTATCGAAGGACTGTCATCACAACTGAAAGCGCTCATTTTTTGGGTATTAAGCTAAGCGGTAAGCTTTGATGCCCGCCACTGCACTTAAGAAGAAAAATGTAAACAAATTAAAGAAGTTTACCACCCCCTGTAACGCCGAATTAGAGCGCAGATCTTGAGGAAGAGGAGGGTAAGGTACGGAGAGGAGGGTATGCCCCTCCTCCTTAACCGTATCCTTCCCTTCTCCGCTGCTCCCTTCCCATTTAGCGGGAAGTTTTCGCTAAATTTCCCGCTAAGTTTAGCGGAAAACATTCCCCGCTAAATTCGGCGGGAAATTTTTTCAGTTAAACTTAGCAGGGAAACTTTTGTGCTGATTTAGCGAGGAATTCTTCCTGCTAAATTCAGCGGAGAATTGTTTCCGCTAAACTTAGCAGGGAAATTTTTCCGCTAAATTTTAGCAGAGAAGTTTTGCGCTAAATTCAGCGGGAAATTTTACCGCTAAATTTAGCGGGAAATTTTTTCACTAAATTTAGCGGAGAGATTTATTCGCCAAATCTAGCGGAGAATTTTCCCGCTAAATTTAGCGGGGAAATTTTTCCGCTATATTTAGCGGGGAAATTTACTCATATGCAACGCGCGGTAACGTCACGAGTGAAGTAATTCGCGACCCTCGTGACGGCCACACGTGACGTCACGTGTGACGTCATTATGGGAAACGTTCCATGATGCAACGCGCGGTTGCACCGACGGCGACGCAATTCAAGCCGGAAACAAGCGCCTAAAAACTGCACTCTAAAAAAAAAAGAAAATTGTGTTTGCGTCCACAGTGACATGCCGTGTACATTTCATCGGTAGCACGATCAAGAGTCTACCTTGTCTGTGCGGGTGATTACAGAATCGCCGACGGCCATCCAGTCAGTCACAGGTACCTCGGAGATCTTCTCCAAGGACGTGGCCAGTTCTCCGACGATTATGGTTAACTTTCGGATGACCAGTCCGAGGTTGTGGGCCGTGCCCGAAGCTCGCTTGATGCACAGATTGTGCAAGCCCAGTAAGTTTTCGATCATGTCCCGGATGTCCTGATAAGTGATAAACTGCCGGTGCAGTTTCTGCAGACAGTCTTGGGCTGCCAGCACGGACTGTTCCTGGCAGAAGTGCGACAGGGGATCCCGTAGGAGGGACACCTTGTTTTCGCGCTTGATGAAGAACTCCAGCAAGACTGTGGTTACTTTGGGAATCTGGAGGAGTTAGATTAATTGGTCCCTCATCATTCTCGCTTTATAGGAACGAATGCTTATCTTTTGTTTTGCAGAACTCTCCAAACTCGGACTTTGATAATTTCGCTTACCCTCGGGAATAAGGTGATGAGAACCTTTACAGCGGAACTTTTCTTTTGGCGCATCATTTCTGAAAAGTGAACACGAATGAAAAAATCAGGCCCACGATTTTGATAGTCTGGTTTCGCAAAGCATTTATCTGATCAATGAATAATCTTCGACTGACCCTTGGACTTTCTTTGGCACAAACTCCGAAGCGGAAATGGATAGGCCGACCGCTAACCCTACCCGACGTTTTTCAATATAGGACCACATTGTCGTCCAAACTAATAGCATGCATAACCACATAACGCCTGTCAGACAATCGACTACACCGGGTTTATTCTCAACAACACGCGTTGCCTTGAGGTTGGTTCACGATGGTCTTTAGGAGCCGATGCTGCGTTCTCACAAGCTGGTCAGCTACAATGAGATAATGAGGAAAGGGGGTAGTCTACGTTTATATGTAGTCACTGACAGCTTGCGAAACGAGGGGCGCGGTTTCGTATCTTCTCGCATCCTGGTTATTGCCGGCTAATGCCGTGCTCTTATTCGCTCCGGAGAGCTAATGAGATGCCCGTGATCGTCTCGCCCCGTGTTTCTTAAGTTGTCGTTGACTTTAACATTTTTGGGTCAACAAGTGAAAAGCGACCCTGACTCACCTTTCCGCTGCTGTGGCGTCGGGGTGCCGGGGTCGCTCGCGTAACTGCCTGTCCCTTCGTCCGAGCTGCTGGGCGGCGAGCTGGTCATGGCCGAATTCCCGCTGTTCGAAGACAGGTTCAGCGACGCAGACGCATGCGTGGCGGGGGGCGTGGTCCTCGAGGTCTTCGTGGTCGCCCCTGTGACTCCTGTTGTGGCCGATGGTCCTGTTGTTGCCGCCGTCGCCCCCGCGGTCGCTGTGACCACTCTCGTGGCCGTCGTGGTCGTTGGACCTATATAGGTGCACCCCGTGCAATTGGTCATATCGGGGCAGTTGGGATGTCAAGCCAAGTTGTTTTGTTTGACATAGTAAAAACGTACAAAGTAAAGCTGTCCGATTTATTTTCAATTGCTATCGATCCAAAATTCCTGTCTCGTTCCTGAACTCTGATGCGAACCTTCTGCTCGTAAGTACAAGGATGATGCTGACTGGGATGAAATATATATATTTTAAATGGTTGAATTGTCATTGCTTTATTGATATTCATCAATATGTTACATATGCAAACTTCGATAACGCAACTAGAAGGTAACATAATAAATTGGTTGGGATCATCGCTTTAAAACAAACACTTTTGGAAACTTCTTTTTTTTAGAGTGTATCGACGAATGGGACAGCTTATACCACGGATGCTGTAAATAGTGAAAATATGTTTTTATAGCACTTTTAATACTTAAGTGTTCTTGCACTTTAAGATGCCTACGACCAACCAGTGTTACACGTTCCTCACAAAAAGGAACGAAAGCTCGTTCCTCGTTCCTTCTGATTTTCGGAACGCGTTCCCGTCACAAGTTCCCTACGTGAAAAAAGAAACTCGTTCCCGTTACAGTAAAAAAAAAAAGGAACATATCGTTACATATACGTTACTTCTGTATGTGATAATTACCATATTTAGTTATATCGAGCGAAGTTTTTTTTTTAATCTATCCCATTAAATGGCAACATACGAATTTGAACGCCCTGACGGAAGGGCACCAGGAGAAGAAAACAAGCTGAACCAGAGTTTCATTTGTTGGTATATTTCACATTTGTGGTGGACAATTCAGACGAGCAAAATGTGCTGTTACCCCAAATTGCACGAGCGTTATACAACATCCTCACACGTCTCAATCTAACAAAGTCCCTTGTTCGAACCTAACAACAGTTGCTTCTCGAAGTTCCTGTCCGCAAGGCGAGCAAGTGAAGGATAGGCTAGGGCTTTGTGAAGGTCAGTTTTGAAAACTACTTGTCCTTGTTCGTGAAGGTCGGATTCGTTGTCCAGTTTGAAGGCCGGGGGGGGGGGGGGGGGGGGATAATGAAGGAAAAATTTTGCGTATTTCCTAAGTGACCGGTGTTCGCGATATAAGCTGGCTTGATTAACGAAAAGTAAAACAGCGATAAACCAACGGAGGACAAGAAGACGAAGTGTACAAACCGAGTGTTGACTCTAAACTGATTAATTGTAAGAACGCCCAAATTGACAAGCATCACGGATCACATAAACACATCAAATCACCCCTCCCCCCCCCCCCCCCCCCCCCCCGTCCCCTGCACGTGTCAAATTTGCTGCTCAATAATGCCAGCTCCTTGTCAAATAATACGATAGAAGGCCAACTGACGCACCTTTTTGCTTCGAAATATAAAATGCCTCTAAAATTTCTCTAGTCATTTGTCGGCTGTGTCGTCATAAGATACTCATTTTAGCAAGAACGGGTTTTCTACCGCACCTATCACAATGTACTGCCAAGTTGCCTGCTGGCGATGATCTAACCGATAGAGCATACAATGATGCGTTCGATGTCTGGTAACCTGTTCTTTTGTCGTAGCTGTAGGTCTCTTTGTGGAAGTTCAGTGATGGCTGTAGTCGGCCTTAAATTTCTGAGTTTATGAGGTTTCGTGGAAGCAAAGGAAGTAGCTGAGTTGGAAATGTCACCCCTTCTGTGTCTTTTTCTTCGAATAAAGGTTTTGCTTTTTGTGCCGCAGTCTCGGGCACTGAAAAAAAAGAATGGTGTTCGCTAGCTCTCCTGCACCCGACTGTTGCCAAGCGAGGGCAACACAAAATACACCCTAAGTTACAAAACTTTGAACGAGATCCTGCTCTTCATAAAGATATTGTTGTTGTACTTTTATAATTTCCGTCTATAAAATAAAAATTACCTCACTGGACAAAAAAAAATAAAAAAAAAGAACGCCGTTTCTTCTTCCGTTCCAGTAAAAATGTAACGAGTTCCCGTTCCAGTTCCACCGATGCAAAATGGAACGGCGGCTTTCCTTCGTTCCTCCTAAAAGGAACGCGTTCCAGGAACGCCGTTTCTTGGAACGCCGTTCCGTACAACACTGCTACCAAGCTAATTTGATCTCACGGCTGGCAATATATCGAAATAAATTTAAAAAAATGAAAGACGTTTACAATTCTCTGTAAATGCGAAATTAGAGCGCGGCTCTTGAGGAGGAGGGGAGGGTACAGAGGAGAGGGTGCGGGGGGAGGGTATGCCCGTCTTCCACCTCCATACCCTCACCCTCTCCTCTCCTCCTCCCCTTCCATTTAGCGAAAAATTTTCGCTAAACTCCGGTCAAATTTAGCAAAAATTTCCCCGCTAAGTTAAGCGAAAACTTTTCCGCTAATTTTAGGGGGAAATTTATAGAAAATTTCCCGGTTAAATTTAGCGTAAATTTAGCGGGAAGGCTTTCACTAAAGACGTTTTAGCTAAGAGGTCGTCGTAGTGGTAGTCGCAGTCGTAGACGTCGTCGCCGTCGTCGTCGTCGTAGACGTCGTAGTCGTAGAGGTAGACGTAATCGTCGTCGTCGTTTTATTTCCATAAACAATAGAAAGTTCATTATTGACGGAGGAGGCCGAGGAAAGAAAGCTTGATAAGCCCTCGAGAGACATAAAAAAGTTTAAAGAAGTGAAGTAAAGGCGTATACTGCGAACAGCATAAACACACTCATCGTCATATTATAAACACTCAGACAAAAGCACAAACAGCATAAACACTTTCGTTCTAAAAACATACGACGACGTTCAGAAACTCAAATTGTTTCTGTACTTATTTTTTTTTTATCTAGACGATTCAGAAGTTTAGGAAGCGTGAACTTTAGCATTTGATATCCGTAGTTTTTATTTATACCCTGCATGAAACCTTCCAGCGGTCTGCATGACGAGTGGTATAGACATGCATATGGGCATGCATATCACGAAGGGAAATTGTTTCTGTACTTATTTTTTTTCTTATCTAGATGATTCAGAAGGTTAGGAAGCTTAAACTTTAACATTTGATATCCGTAGTTATTTTTATACCTTGAAACCTTCCAGGCGGTCTGCATGACGAGTGGTATAGACGTGTATAGAACTAGGCTAATGCGGCCAAAAATGTTGATTTTCTTATTTGTTTTTTCTAACATTAAGCACTTGAAGGCGTTCAAATAGCTGTTCGATATCAAAATAATAAGAAATACCCGAAATTATTCTCGAAAAATTTTTTTAGAATAATTTACTAATGGCCACAAACCAGGCGGCAGTAAGTAAAGGGAGCATTAAACAAGGAGTTGTAAATTAATATTTTGACAGTGGTTGGGAGCACAGACTGGTGAAGATATGTTAACCCGTAGCCTCCTCTATTGGCAACGTGAGCGATCGAAAGCGTCGTTGTGGTCGGCCCACCACAATTGGCCGAATGCTGACTATGACGTCAGCAAAGGATTTCTCAGCGACGCAAATAAGAGGAATGTAAGAACTTCAATTTTGACGGTGTTGGCAATGTTGCTTTGAGAGTGCTATGATTTCAGGCTTTCACCATGCTCATTACAAACACCATCGAACTTGTTGTTCACAAGGTAATAACGTCACGAAAGGTAACCAAACGAGGGCGCCACCGAAACATCTCGCCGCTAATACTCACAAAGCCTGGCAGTTCGGTGACGGAGCCATACAGCACCCGGTCGCGGATTTGGAGCGCAAGGATCTGATAGCAAAGAGTAGCAAAGAGCATCTCTCGGAGAGTCTGGTATTCAGCGCACAGCTTTTGTGGCGGCGAGGACTCGAAACATGATTTTCAAACCTGATGAGAAAAGAAGCCGCACGGCCGGGCTGGAAGCGCGCGCTCTTTCTCTTCTTACGTCCTTTGCAATCGCCCGGGATTCAATGGCATTTTTTCTCCGTATGTTGTTCACTTGCTTGCCGCCAGGGGCGCAACCACCTCACCCCACTTCACCCCACTCGGAGAGTTCCTTCGAGCTGCTTTGCGCTGGTGTTGGAGCTTCGTAGACTGTTGTTTTGGCAAAGATTCCTCAGAATACTTCTGATTAACCATGCAAAGACGGTCACGGACAGAAACGAAAAATCAGCTGGATATGTGTACAGGGCCTCGAGGAAACACTTTAGGCTGTAATATGCACTGTGCGAAAATTGTACAGACTACCACACCCTTGTCTACAGCAGCTGACCGACTTCATGTGCGGCCTATAAAATGATGATACCGACCACGGCAATAGATAGATTGGACCTGCTTACATTTTACGAAAGTGTACGAATTATTTATCATTTAAAGGTTCTCCACGTAGAAGGGGTCCGTCTCCTCCTGTTCTGAGTTGCAACAGAAATCCTGGAGATAAAGACGAGTATAGTTTTTCCGCAATTGCATTCGCTGTCTCTACTTACTACTTTATACTCCCGAATCTTTCGAAGATGTGCGTCAAATATTAACCGGTTTGGGCTCATCAGAAGCGCATTAGGTAGTGACTGAGGGTCTAAACGCAACGATCAGGCGTCAAAGGCTATAAAAACCTCGGCCGCAAGTTGCGACAGCGCTGAGATACACTGTCAGACGCGCTCTGCGCAAACGGGAAAGGGTAGCCGAGGGGTGAGGTGACAGCGCCCCCCGCGAATTGCGGCGGGAGGTGACGATTGCCGCAATCGCAAAGGCTCTAAACGTCCATACGCACATTCGCGTTTGAACGCGTTTGAGTGCGTTGCAGAATCCTCCAGGCGCGGTCGCTTGCGGAGCGACGCGCGCCTTCCCGCAACGCTCGGTAGCGCAACGCAAGCGAGTAGAGACTCGCTGAACTTTCCGAAGCGTTGCGGTGCGTTCGGGTGCGTTCGACCAATCAGAAGCCGAAAGAGGAGAGGGGGTGAGGACGCACCGCGCTCAATCGGGAATGTGCGTATGAAGAGAAAGAGAGCGCGCGCTTCCAGTCCGGCCTTGGAAGCGGCAGAGCCTTTTATACTGGGAGAGTTCGGCGGTTCTTTGATCCAGCCGCCAGTATGGCAGTGCTGATCAAACAGTCT